GGATGGGGGAGGCATTAAGCGAAAATCGGTGGGGGTGCGAGAAGGATGGCCATTTGTTTGTTTTGTTGGTTGGGGAAAATGGGGAGTTGGGGAAGAAAAACAAGGAGTGGCGGATCTGCTTTCATTGGTTCAATATTTTCTCGGGAAAATTTCAGAGGTCGTTTTTTTTCCATCCAGCCAAACACTCCCCCGGAATTAGCTATATTTGATTGCGGGGTTATTGTTCAGCCCCGACGTGGCAGGCAGTGGTTGCAATTTATTTATTTATTTATTTATTTTCTCTCAGGAGCTCTATTTTTAACAATTTTCAACAGAAATTTCAGCAGGGGAATTTGTTAATGTTTTAATTTTATCTTGATGATACGGGGTTTGATGGGTCCTATTAGTTTTTGTTTTTATTTGTTTTTTTTTATTTAAACTGTTATTTTAGTTTGGATGGGAAACGATGATGATCAAATGTAGTTTAGGGGATTTATTTATGAATAATATGTGTAAAGATGAAGGATATGTACACTCAATTGAGAAATTAAAGTGAATTTTTCGGTCATGGATTTCGATTTTTGGATGAGGAGGTTCTTTGGATCTTAGTTTTATTAGAGAAATTCACCCTTAAAGTCCTCCCCGATTATGCTTCGAAAATAAACATTAATTCGACTGAATTCCTCTCGTTTGAATGAATGAGATCAATAGTTCAATAGCGTAGCATATCAGCCAGCCTCTAGTCTAGTGTTTGTCGAAAGTCCCTTGATGTCCTTGTTGCTCCCTGGTTATCTCGAGAGGCAAATATACTTCCAGTTTTCCTACACGTGGACAATTTTCTTTGAGTAAAGGTGAGATCTCCTTCATTCCAAAGTTGTGGAAATGTCACGCATGAGTGAATTATATCTTGAATGTCACAACTATATTTCTATTTATCAATAAATCTTTAAAACCCAAAAAATTGGAAACATAAAATTGAAAAATAAGTTTTTTTTTGTTCCAAATAAATCCTCAAATGCCCTAAGGATCAAACCAAATTAATTATGCACCGATGGTATAGACTAATCAAACTTTTGACTGCGAAGTGATTCAACTCAATTTTGTTTAAGGTTTAAATACTATATTTTTAAATTGTTCATTTTGGTCTTTGTACATTCAAATTTTTTTTCTTTTCATTTTAATTTTTATACTTCTAAAACGTTTGTTTTAGTCCTTATACACCATACTTTTAAAAAGTAATCAGTTTAATCTCTATTTATAAAATTTTGACATAAATTCAGTACATAACAAAAACTTTTTAATACAAAGTTGTGACTAAACGTTTCAAAAAATTTATTGGTGCAGTGCCATGATAAAATTGTGATAAAAGAGGTAATGAGAAAAGTGGAAGGGTCAAAATAGTCACTTTTAAAAAGTACAAAAACAAAAGCAAAACATTTTAAAAGTATAGGGACAAAAAAATTGTTGATGAGAATTTCTAGGCAAGTGCTACGTAGGTCTTCGTCTTCAAGTTCCAGCTAAACCTATACGTAGAAATCTAACACCAGTCGATTCCTAAATTAGAACTTAGATGGAAGCACTAGGGTTTTTCACAAGAGAGTCCGCATACTTCCCTCCAAGATTTCCAGTTGCTTTTGTATGGAGAGGGAGAAATGAGAGCAAATGTCCCAAGGGAACCGAGCCCACCGACATTCTAATACCCCCAGTCTGATGTAAAAAGGGCAACAGCAATGTCAAAAGCAACATTTTGACACATGACCAAGCTAAGATTCGCCGTAGGGTGCCAGCACCTTTTCCGTTGATGATTTTCTCATGTGGACTGTATTTTGATGCCCCTGCACCCCAATTCGATGCACTTAGCCTTAACCAGCTACACTCAGGATTTCCTTGCCCTTCTACATGGATTTGCACCAGTTCGTGTGCTCGCATCGGGACTTGACATGTGGCACCCCATATTTACCCCTTAACATAATCAAAAGCCAAAACTATAGAGATCAAATTTTTAACATTCTAAGAGTAGGTCAAACGGATTAAAAATATATAAACCAAAATAATTTTTTTTTTCAAATCTAAATCAATATCTAACTAATGTACTCAAAAATAGAAATCCAACTATAACTAGACTAATCAAACCAAGGTAAACGAACCAGACCGGCTCGGTTATCGATCTGTTTAATTCGGGTTTATTTTGAACACTAAACTAAAGAAAACAAAAAATATATATATTTGGCTCCTCACCAGTAAGGAGGAATCTTGTCGCACCACCATTTAATATTTGACAACTAAGAGAGAAATGCAAAAACAAAAAAGTGTTTTTAAAAAATGATGACTTGTCAAATATTAAAGGGTGGTGTGGACAAAATTCCTCTATAGAGTCAAGTATTTTCCAAAAAAAAATTAACTTTTTATGAAAAAAAATTTTTATCTCAACCAACTCTTCCATACTCTCTTGAATAATTCTAGCAAGAGCGATACCATCGACACTGTTAGGCAAATTCCCAAACTAAAGCTTCGTGCTCACCAAATCGACTTCTCCACCCCTTCTTCTTCAACGGCCGTGGCAGAGGCCGCCGTGAGCGGTTCCCGTGGACAGCGGCCACGGTCGAGGAGGAGGGGAGAAGAAGAGGTGACTATGGCAAAGTTTGGATGTTAATAAACCTAATGTCTTGTTTATTTATTATATTCGATAATTATTTTATTTTTRGTTTAATTTTCTATTTTTCAAAAACTATATTTGTGTGGTAACTTCTTGTATGTTTTCATAGATGTTTTCAGGGATGAAAGTAATAGTGTTTGTAGCTTAATTTTTAAGAAAAATTTTAGGACGAAAGAAAAATGTTTAGCGGGGAACTCGTTTCACGTCGGTGTATTTGTACCAAATTAGATGTTGGCCATGACACGAAGGTTCAAGACTTAATAGATTCTCATAGGGGGAGAGCGAAGTGTTGTAGTAACACCCTAAGGCCCTATGTGCTATAAAGCCAAAGAAACCCTGCCAAAAAAAACAAAAAAAAAAGCTATCAAACGAGTCTTTAATTTTTCTAAAACTATTTTTATTTGTAAAATTTAGTTAAAAATTCAAACATTTTAGATAAACTATGATGATGCTAGTATAATTTTTAAGAATTAAAATTTGAAATGGTTATTGAATGGGGAAACACAATTTGGTTTCTTATAAAAACAAATAGTTTTTTTTTTAAATTATGTTCGTTTCTTGTAATTTTTAGTATATTTTTTTACATTTTTAAATACAAATTTGATTTCTTAGCTACATTTTAAAAATAAAAAGATAAGTTTGTAAAAACTATTTTTCATTTAGTTCAGATTTTAAAAACCTTTGTAAAAAGTAGACGTCAAAACAAAATAACACATGCACACGTGCAAATAATATTTTATAAACATAACTTTAAAAAATAATAATAAATAAAAAACAAAACATTAAAATAGTATTTTAATTCTCATATTTTCAACTTTTGTCGATATTTATTTCTGTGCTTTTAAAAAGTGATTTTGATTATTTTTGTCACTTAATTTTATTTTTAATCTCATTTCTCAATTATAATTTTAATACGATATTATAATCAATTTATTTCTTACAATGACTTTATATTAAAGAGTTTCGATTATATAAATAATTTGTGTTTAAAATTTTGAAATGTGAACCAAAGCGATCACTTTAAAATTATGGGATCAAAACGAGCATGTTCAAATTACCTAGACTTAAATGAACTATACTTTCTTGAAAGTTCGAGGACTAAAATGAACCAAAGATAAAAGTATAGATTTCGGTAAAAGATACAAAAAACAAAATAATTATGAAATGGATGCCTAAAGGATTAAATTAAACTGGGCTTCCTTTTGACACTCTATTGGGCTTTCAAGTTTCAAGATCCGAAAATAAGAGATTTCCCCAAAACCCTAAACTTTTTTTTTTTTTTAATTCTAAAATCTTTTTCTCTTATTTTCTCCAATTCCCTGAAGAAGCTACCAACTAGATCACATCGCTTCTTCTTCAATTTTTTCTTCTGGATCTTCCATGGCGTCTCGTGGTAATAAGCGAGCTTCTCTTACCAACGGCGACGAGAATTCAGGCGTCCTGTCTAGGGTTTCCCGTTCTGTCTCCGATTCCCAAATCGTCCGGCGAGCCAAAAGCACGGCTTCCGACGCTGCATTCGTTACCCAAAAGCTCCTCCGTAGCACCGGTAGAGCTGCGTGGATTGCCGGGACGACATTTCTCATCCTGGTGGTGCCGTTAATCATTGAAATGGATCGCGAGCAGCAGTTCAACGAGCTCGAGATGCAGCAGGCGAGTCTACTTGGTACCCCGGCCACCGCTGCTCCCAAGTGATTTGATTTGGTTTACTCGACGCCATCAGGTTAAGGCTACTCGATGATATGTTGTTGATGGTTTAGGGTTTTTTTCCTTGGATTTTGGATGGAATTTGATTATGGAATATGGATGAGCTAGTATGTCGTGTACCTCTATTCCTTTGTTTGTGACTGCCGATAAAATGTGATGTTGCTCAGGTTTAGAGATTGAGGCTTTAGAGAGTTAGGGTTATGTTGCAAAATTATATGAATTGTATTCAGAATCAATTGAAATTTTCTTCTACTCAAGAAGTTATTGCTTGCTGTTGTAAACTTAGTTTATGATTGTTTCCTCTTGGTGGGAAATTGCTTGATGCCTAGAAATCAGCTGAAAAAGCATTGCACGTTCATTGTTTTCAAGCACTACGAATCGATTGTTTCCTTGGTGAATTGACTTTCATGAAATCCTACGTTCATTGTGGTGTTTTTGTATGTAATCTTAGGTTCTTATTTTCAGGTACCCAATCATTTGATATTTAGAGTTGCTTTGTCTTCTCCATTGAACTATACAATATTAAATTATTGAGTGCATCTTATAAGGGTGGTTATCTATTTGCTGATATCTCTCTTTAATTTTATGAACTTCATGATGGAAATTGGAATGTGTCACTGCTAAGTGAGTTCATTTGGTTGCTTGAATTTGGAGTAATCATTTTCTCTCACTGCCATTTGAGTTCTTTATGTTAGAAGTTGCCTTAAAATTAGCAGAACAGCTTTTGGATCCTCTCCTTATTGGGGGTACCCTACAAACAATCCTTTCTATTTGTTTGTTTCATTCTTAGTCTCTGATTGCTACTTCCATTGTTTAGTATCAATATGTTCCTCACTGTTGCAGGCTACTTCATACATGTGTTTATGTTGTTTTATCTGTAAAGTTTGCCAATGTCTAACAACAGCAACCTTTTGAAATTATGGTGTCTCTAGATGTCAGAACATTGGACGATATTTCTTTGTTCAACTCTGATAATTCCATAAATGTTCACTGACCAACACCTAAACCAGTTTTTTTTTTTTTCTGGCAGAATTATGTTTTGCAGCTGTTTCCCGTCTCCCTAGTCCCTACTTTGTGCAATTTCTAGCCTTCTTTATAAACTATCTAGTTCTTCTGCATCCGTCTATGCCTCTGTTTTGAAGTTTGTGCAGAAATGGAGACTTTTGGTCACCAGCACTTTTGAGGTGGCTGAGCTCTCTATTGAACTTTTTTTTGGTTGGAAGGTAATTGTTCCCATTTTTGGTTTCTGTTTAGGATAGCTCAGGTTTCTCCATGTGTTTACAAGATCGTTCTTTTAGTTTCAATTTATTTCGAAAGAAATTGCCTTTGACTATTCAAGACAACTATTTGTCACCACTACATTTGGTTGTCAATGTAACTCCTAAGAAATTAAATCTTAGGTAGGCAGCCACCATGGTTTTACCTCATTTCCTTTCAACCTTGTACTATTTGGTCTTTGTTGCCGACCATGATGGTTAAATGTCTTTCTAAACATTACTTGTAACGGAACACTAATAGTATCAAAGAACATCTAGATGATCTATTCTTTTAAGATGATCTATTCTTTTAAAGGAGTTTTTCGTAAGAGGATGAGAAGTATAGATGGAAATAAATAAAAAAGTAAAGAGTAGTGTCTTGCTAGTGATGGTGATGAGACACTTATGTTTTTTTTTTTTTTGAAATATTTGAGTTCGTATCATTTCATCATATCAATTATCATGTTACAGAGTGTAAATAAAAAATTTTACTTTAAACTATGGGCAGAAATTTAAAGTGTGATTGACCTGTATATTTCTCAGCTCAGCTATTAACCTTTTTTTTTTATCAAAATAACTTATATATCTTTGTTTTTGTACTATATAAATTATCTATGATTTTCATATTGTATGTTTCTTCGCTTATAGCCGCTGGGTACGAGAATCAAACCTCTTTTAACTTGAGAACAATGTTACATTACAAGTCCGATATTCAGTTATTAAGTTCGAATCTTCCAGTGAGTTTAATATAAAAAACCTTTGATGTCTCTTAAATCAGGACCTTGGAACGGGTGCGAGTGTAAAAAAAAAACAAACGAACAATGTTACATAATAGGTCATGCTTAAATTCAGGCTATTTAAAACGATTTTTTATAACAATTTGCTGTGGTTGATACTATTTTAGTCCACATATTCTCAACTTTAGTTTATTTTAATCGTACTCTTAATATTAACTCATTTTAGTTGTGTATTTTCAAAACATTTGTTTTGCTTCTTCTATACTTATAAAAAGCAACCATTTTGGTATTTTCATTTTCATTTTTATCTCATTTTTCTTAAACTACGTAGACCAAAACAGATACTTTAAAACATAAAAATACAAATACAAAAATAGTATTTAAAAAAGTACAGAAATTTATAGTAAAATACATGGTTTTTGAAATCTTCAAGAAGGGAGCAGCTTTCTTAAAAGCACATAAAAATGTGGGTTATGAGGGAGGAGAAACCAGAGTATGGAGATTAGTGAAAAGAGACAAACACCCACATGGCTATAAACTGTAAAGAAAGCAATAATTAAATTATATTTTCTAAAAAAATAAATTAAACTCAAAGGTCCATCATTTCCTTCATTTCTACACCCCAAAAAAAAACAAAAAAAAAACATTCATCCCCACATTCTCCTCTTCTCCTTAAGTTTTGATTTTTTTTTTTTTTCTCTTTTCTTTTTTGTATCTTTCACTTTTGTGAAGAATATCTTTCTCTTCCCTTCCTTCCATGCACTGATTCCTTCTTCTCTTCTCAACAAAATTTCTGAACCCAGTGGCAAGAACAGTCTTTGTCAACCCAAAAAGAATCCCATCCTCTTTTATAAAACAAAGTAAAAGGAGATTAAAGCAATTTGGATAGTTTTTCTTTTACCTCTAAAGAACTTTCCCTCTGTATCAAAAATCTGCAGATGATAGAAGATGAACTCAATCAAAATTCTGGGGAACAAAAATGGCAGAATGTTGAATAAAGCTCTGTTTTAATGCATACCGTCATGTTTCTTCTTCAAACCTCTGATGAAAAGCAAGCAGATGACCAGAAATCCCACTCCTGCTGCCCCTCCTAATATCACGGCCACTGTTTTCCCTGTGTTTTGCCCCATTCCTAACACCCAAATTTCAAACATTTCATCTCAATATAATTTCACAAGTTTAGTTCAAATGTATTCAATGATGGACTCTTCAGTGGATGTCCTGTTAGCTAGCTCTAATAGCGAGAGTTTGTGTAGTCTGCGTTTGGGTTTCGTAGAGCAATGAGTCACGAAAACCCGTGTTTGGTTTACAATTTACCAAAAGCAGATGCATAGTTTCAGTGTCACAATGCATTTCAGAGCCAAATGTAGATTCTATTGAACAAACATAGATTGTATTATGCATTCTTCAGTTTTGTGAAGTTTTTGGGATTTACCTGATGGAGATGAGGAAATTGATGAGGAAGATGAAGGAGAGGAAGATCTCCTCGGAACCCCATTTGGGTAGTAACTGTAACTGATGAAGCATTTGTGCAAATAAAGTTGCCCTGAAATTGAGCTCCCACATTCAACCTGAGCTCTCTGAACAGCATGCTTCACACACTCACCACAATCAGAATCCCCCAAATCTCCCTCGCATTGCCCCAAAACATACAGAGATTGATAGTTAGTGGTGTAGAATCCATGGCCACTCACCACTCCATTCTCCAACACGGATAGCCCCGTGTCCCTCCTCTCCTCAAACCCACTTCCGGCAATATTCGTTGCCCCACAAGTTTTGAACAGCATTTCGAACCCTGAAATCTGGGCAAACCCAGGAAACTCGTAGAGCAAATAGCAGCCGGAGAGCTGGACTCTGGCGGCGATGGTTTTGCCGCAGAGACTATCGGCCAATTCGGGGAGTTTGCTGACGCAGTTGTAGCAATCGGAGCTGGTGAGGTCCCCACGGCACTGGAAGAGTCCGGTGATGGCGGATTGGGCGGTGCCGGCGGTGGTTTTGAAGAACCTGGAGCCTTTGGCGGATTGGGAAACGAGAGAGCCGAAGAGGGCGGCGAGGGCTTGGGAGTAAACGCCGTTCGGATCTGAGAATCCTTGCTTGGCGCAGCCCTTGTAGATCAATGTGGTGTAATCGGGGCCAGATTGGACCAAAGAAGAGAGGGAAACGAGGAAGAATAAGAAGAAGAATGAGGGTTTGGAGTGAAAACCCATCTGGGTCGGTGTTGAATGCGTCAAATCATGGGATTTGGGAGATGGGTTTTGGTTGTAATCGGAAGAGAAATGGAAATGCGGAGGTTTGTGGGTTTGTTTTGTGCTGGAAATGGAGGCCTGGTTCAGAGCTTGCCTCTCTGTAAATGTCTGTAAACCGCGCAAATGAAGAGTGAGAGAAAAGAGAGAGACAGAGAGAGAGGAATCTTTTTCTTCTTCAGTCCCCACAAACTGATGAAACTTGGAGACTGGGCAGAGTGGGAAAAAAAGAGAGGGAAATGTCATTTTTAGGCTAGCTTAATTTACAAATTTAATTTTAATGGTTTAGTTTCAAATGAGTTTTTATTTATACTAAAAAAAAGTTCTTATTTTTATTTTTATTTTTTATATTTTGTCTCGGTACCAACAGTGGGAGTGGTAATTCAAATTCATGGCCTCTTAATCATAGATGGATGATGATTACCACTAAGTTGACGAGTAGTGTTATAATTTGAACTAATTTTTAAAATATTAATTTAATTTATACGATTCTAAAAATTTCAAGTAAGTTGTTATGATTTAATTTATTTTAATAGTTTAGTTGAACATCACACATAGTCTCAAAACTTGTAAAATTTTATGGAAAAATGTTTTCTTAAAAAAAATAAAAAGAAATGATATTTTTATAAATACATATTTATTTTATATCATTCCATATAATTTTTTAAAAAAATGTGTAATATAGTAAGGATAAGAACTATAGGTGAGATTTGACTATACATTAAATTAAAATTTTTAAAAGTAAAATAACGAAAAAATAAAATTAAACGAATTACAGAGATTAAATTAAAATTATAAGAATTTTCTATATAGAAAAGTGTGAAACCAACCATGTGTTTTGTGGAATAAAATATGAGGTATTATGGTCTCCATGGGGAAAGAAAACAAAAGATGCAGAGTTAAATATAAATAAATAAATAAGTTTTTATTTTTTTATATATATTAATTAATTAATTTTATGTATTGGTTTGATTAAGGGCAGTGGAGGGTATAAATGGAAAAAGGGAATCAAACTGTAGCAAAAGACAGAGAGTGAATTTTTGGTTGCCAAGTCTGACTACATTTTTTACAAGTCCACATCCATCTTCCTTTTTTGAGTTTAAAGAATTAAAAACATTATTCCCTTGTGTCAATTGCCATGTCACTAAAGAACTTCAATTGTAGTTAACAAAATATTTATGGGCCCGCTCACTCGAACCAGTTAAAACATATATTATCGATGGATATATCGAAGGTGGTATATCGTCAAACCCAACAAATATTTTTTGTGTTTCAACTTAAAATAAGATGGATAATAGATTTTTTTATATATACGTGAGTATCTGGGTCAGCTTATGTGTGTTTGGACTAATTTTACGGAACAACCGCTTGACGTTATAACATTTGATGCCGAAAAACCTATGGGAATTACTAATTCCTAAGATAGGTGATCATCCTAAAACAATGGATAATATATTAAATGCATGTGTATTCAAGATTAATGGATGTGTTCATTTTTTTTTTCATGACAATAAATTGGGGTGTGGAAATTTGAACCTCTAAAATTCGGTGAGCTATGCTAATTTTGGCGGGATTGATTGGTTTAATGGTAAAAAATGCAAGTTTTTAACATAATGTTGGGGAGATTTTCTCCTTTTTTTTTCTCAGTATTTGAGTGTATGATTTATTGAATCATAAATTTGAATAATCTATGATATTAATCTATTTCCGATCAAAAAGTGGCTAACTCCACAAATTGTACCAAAAAACCTGTGAAATTAATATCTCTTATTAATTAAGTTTTCAATTACGTTCTTGACGATATATGATAATTGTCATTTTTTGTTGCATTATGTATTTTTCTAATTTTGTTTTGAGATATGCAATCTCAAATAAAAGTTTAAGAGTAAAGTTAACCCTATAAGGAAGAAAACAAATATATATTTAAGTTAACTCGTGTGTAAAAATATTTCTCTTTGATTGTTGTGAGGTCGTAGATCATGCATGTAAAATAGGTTTGAACGTCCAAATTGGTTAGAAGTAATAAAAAATGAGATCACGAAACAAATATCGATTACATATTCTTTAATAACTATTTGATTAATCAATCCGAATGTAGTTGAAATGGACGAGAGACCTTAATAATTGTTGAATTTGCCACCGCCACCATAGTGGTTAAACTAAAAAATAAAATAACTACTTTGTTAAATTATAAATCTATATATGGAGTATAGTTTCTATTTAATTCCTAAATTTTAAATAAAAATTTCAATTTTTTTACTTAGGCTTTAGATTATATTTTGAATTTTGAATTTTTCTTTTTTTGAGTACTTTAACTTTTATATTTTTACTAGTAACTAAATTTTTAATATTTATTAAATAGCTAAGTAGTGTGGTAAATAACTATATGTTTAATAACGAAATTATTAGTTTCCTCGAAATTGAACAAGAACTTCAGTAAACACAGTTAGTTTAGTTTATTCGCGCGAGCATAACTCTACTGGTTAAAACATATATAATTCATCAAAATGTTATATCATCCCACGTGTTAAACTAATTTTTTTTTTTTTTGTCAATCTAGTATCTCAAAGTCTATAAAACACTTTAATATCATCTTGAAAGTTGATGGCTTAATCTCCGACCATGCAATTGTTAAACTAAAAAATATATATATTTACTTTGATAAATTATCTCATTGTAAAAAAAATCGAAAACACAAATTAAAATCTATTAAACAAACATTTAATGTTGGCTAAATTACCAAAAATACTCTTGAACTTTACCGTTGGTTTTAGAAATATCTCTATCATTTAAATGTTTCAGTACTACCATCAATCTTTCATAAAAAAATTCACAAAATATTATTTGAGCAAATATCCAATATTTTAAACAAAAAAATTGACGTTACAAAATCTAGAACGACTTGGCAATTAATAGAAGCTTTCATGGAACAATTAAGTAGTACTATAATAAATTTGACTTTTAATGTGGTCCATCGTTGTTTCCACCCGTGAATTTCTTTTTCCATCATTAATAGTCAATTTTGTTGTAGTACTATACCATTGTTCCAAGCAAACTTCCATTAATTATAATGTTATTTCAAATTCTGTCACGTCAACTTTTCGTTCAAAATATTAACGATATTTGCTTAAAGTATATTTTTTAAAACGTTTAAAAAGTTAAGAGTATTATCGAAAGTTTTGAAGTAAGGAAGTATTCTAATTGAAATAAAAGTACATTTCAGGAATATTTCTTTTTTTATTATTATTTAACCTTTGTTTTGTTTTTTAGAATTTATAGTAGTATCCCAATTTGTCTTTTTTAACAGTTTTGCATGTTTGATTTCGGACAAATATAAATTTATATATAGGTGGAGACAGGACTCACCGAATCTAAGGAGACAGCACACTGAAATGAGAAGATCGAATCCAAGTCGACGAAATAAGAGAAAGAAGACTGAAGGTATCGAACAAAGGAGACATAAATTGAGCATGAGAAACAAAAATTGAGGGAGACAGGTATTGGAGACAATGGTGGGGCGACAGAGCGAGTGACAAAATTGGTTGCAAGTAGGACGGCTGGTAGCGACAGATGGTGGAGGAGAGAGACCAGTTGTATATACTTAAATTTCTACATATTGTATACATTTTTTTGTTCGAGATAGAATGTTTTATATTTTTGTATTACTTGTTCCAACTTTTGATATACAAAAATATACTAATATTTATTCGATGTTCATCATATTTATTCACCCATCGATATTTGTTCAAATATACTTTTTAAATCGTTTAAAAAAAATAAAGAGTATTATTGAAACTTTTGAACGTATGTTTTTGTAATTTCACCTGGAATATTCCATTGGTCCAAAATGTTGGAACAGCCAGATCAGGTCCAGCCCAAAGTGGGCCCCGTGGCCCATCAAAAAGTAAAAAGATTTGCCTTCTTTGGACATTTCGTACCATGAAACCAAAAAAATCTCTCTCTATAAAATATATATATATATTTTAAAAAAAAAGGTCCACGCTTTTTCTTTCAAAAGTCAACCATATTTTTGTTTCCAATTTCAGAATTGTTTCTATCTTTTAAAAATTAGAGTATGAAATTATAGGGTTAAATTATAAATTTTGTTATTATACTTAAATTTGATTAATGTTGTTTTAAATTTTGAATTTAGTCTTTATGGATTGTGTTTCAATTTGGTAGTTATAGTATATATTTGGTTAGAATTTGGTTGGTATGGTTTTGTTAAATCTCACAGGTTTAATGTAAATTCAGTTTATCAACTTGAAAAATCTACCTTTTCTTTTTCTGATTTGAGGTACTAAAATTTAGTGAAAAAATATATATCAATATGATAACGACATACACGATTTGAACATTAATTAAATCACAACAAGATTAAGTTGAGACTTTTGAGATCATATACATTAAATTAAATCTAAATCCAAATGATATGAATCAAATTAAAACTAAATCCGTACGAACCATAAACTAACTGATAGATTCTATCCCAACTAATTTGACATAACATTAGCATCTTATCGAATAAATTCAAATAAAATAGATGTATTTTAAACACTATATTCATTTTAAGTGTTAAGGAATTGACATATATCTCAAACTAAGACGTGTGGATTCGATCTCCTACCCCTATTATGAGTTTGAAGCTTAGGTTTGCAATAAATTCGTTAATTTAACACTAATATAAACATGCATATTTTCTAGTATAACATGTGGGGTGAGAGATCGAACTCACGAGCTCTTGTGGGAAATATATGTCAATTACCGTTGAGTTATGTTTGTGTTGGCGCCAACATGAGCTTAGCTCAATGTAATTCACACCGGCTCTTGTCTTTGAAGTCAAAGATCTGAACCCCGAACTCTCGATTTTTGTACTAAAAAAAGTTGAGTAGTTTGTTACAATTTTTTTTAATTAAATAGATAAATAAAAACTAAAGATACATAGATTTGATGGCAACAAAAAAACTAAAAAAAAAATGTTGAAAATTTATCCTGAAATGGAAGTTTCAATTTCAGCGCCAAATGTGACAATGTCTGATAGAAATCGTCGCCACCGCTCTCTTTCTACAATTTGTTCTGCAGCAGATTGTGATTCGCCACACGCCATCCCTCCCTCTCTTCCACCGACCGCCTTCGCTTTCTTCTTGTCTCTTTGATTTCTTCATCCGCGGGGTACCCAAGGCCAGAGCAGAAGAAGAGAAGCATGGAGGTCGAAGCAACCCGAGCGTGAGAGATTACTGAATTTCCCGTTTTCTTTTTGATCTTCTCACCGGAGCCAGATGCATTCCCTGAAGGAGAAAGTCTTCGGCCTCTTCTCCAATTCAACTAGCTCGTCGTCCTCTAAATCGTCGCCCCCTGATCCTCGTAGTCAGGTTTTTGTTTTTGTTTCTGTCTTCTGTTTGGTAGCTTGTTTGTGATATTTTTTTTTTGGCTTGATTGATTTGCGGGAGGTTTTTATGTTATTTAGAGATTGTGGCGACTGGGTATTATGCGTTTTGGGAGTTTATGGGTTGGCTGGGGATTGGTTTTGTGGGTATTTGAAAATGTGAGATCTTGTGGGGGGATTAATCAATTCATCAGGGCTTTGAAGGGCTGCCACTGAGCAAAATGTTTTGAGTACTTTTCAGTACTAATATGGCCATTACGACTTTCCAGGAATTATGCTTGTGGTATTTAGGACTTTAGGTGTCATATTAATTGTACTTGGTAATTGATTTACATCTTGGTTACATCTTTTAATATTTTTTCTCCCATACAAAAATGGAACGGGATGGGTGCTTGAAAGGATAATAGGCCTGAGATAAACAAAACCAGAAGTTTTGTGCTGCAACTCGCAAGTATGTGGCTAGAGTTTAGCAACTTCTGCCCCTCCAGTCCCCTAATATTGGACTTTAGAATTGCACGATGGTAAAGTTTTAGTATATGAGTGAGGTCTCAACCTTTATGCTTTGTCTCCTTTTCTCTGCCGTTGTTTTTCTTTGACGAATACATTTGTGAATGTCATTGGCTGTTGGCTTGTGACATGGTTTTAATTCTGTAGGCCAGGCCAAAATCGAAAGGAAGAAAATCACTGTCTTCGTATTTTTCGCTGGTAATCCATTCCATACATGGATCTAAATCAGCTAGTTGTCACCATGACGACAATGCAGTTCAATCTCCCTCGGTTCAATTTTGTGATGCAAACAATGATTTCCAGGAGGAAGGCTCAGATACTCTTACAGAACGTAGTCTAGTATGCAAGACGAAAGAAGTACCTAGTAATCAGGGAGAAAATGAGGATTGTGGTTCAGCGCATGAGAAAAAGGTAAAACTGAATATACCAGGAGTTGACGATGACCCAGCATCTGGAAAGAGCACTTGTAGTTCAGATGTATTTGAAGAAGCTATGGAGCGGCCCTCTCCAAGAAAGCCCTTATCAGACCTCACAGATGAGTCGTGTTTTATTTCTGAAGACTTGTATGAATTCCTGGGATGTTGTCTGCCCAACATTGTGAAAGGGTGCAAATGGATCCTAATGTACAGGTAGTTCAGCTGATATATTATAGCTTGGACGTATAATGAATGAAGCCTTTATTTTTATAGTTGATCTGTGATCCGATACATTTCATTTCAAATGAAGGGCAGTACGGCGAAGCATGGTATATCTCTTCGAACACTTATTCGCAAGAGCCATGATCTTTCTGGCCCTTGTTTACTGGTACGTCAATTCCCATTACTGTATGAGTTTCACTGATGATAGAGCCTTTAAATGCTAAAACTGTATTTTTCTTTATCTAGATTGTTGGAGATACACGAGGTGCTATATTTGGTGGTCTTCTAGAATGCCCGTTGGAGCCTACACCCAAGAGAAAGTATCAAGTTGGTAGCTTTTTCTCATAACTCTCTTTAAAACTATAGCACATTGATAGGACTTTTGAGCCTAGGGGAAGGGAAGGCAATTGCATTTTAGGAGTTTTTTAGCTGCTTCATGTAAACTACAAAGTTTTCCCTCGTTTCATGTTGATGTTCAATTTGTTAACATAAATTATAAAACTTATGTCATGTTTGCCATAAAAAGAAGTGAAACACCAAGTTAGATTCATGAAAAAGAAATTTTGTGGTCTGGAAGGATTCTCTTCACAAGAGTTTGATCCAGAATAAAAGTAAGCTAATCTGTAATTAAAATTCTTATGAACTACATAGGTCTGCATCTCTTTGTCCTTTAACTCATAATGGATGTGGCTCTATCTAATTTTTATGGTTGTATTTTTTTTATAGGGAACAAGCCAAACATTTGTCTTTACCACAAAATATGGTGAACCAAGGCTTTTTAGACCAACTGGTAAGTATTTTGTTTTTTCTTCCCACACATGTGCTTGTTCTTGGAAGATTTGCAGTGATACTGTTAACCATATTAGTTCTATATAATGGTTGCACATGTCTTGTTCAATTTTTGAAAGTTCTGTTTGGTTGATACTAAATTTAGATATGTTAGTTAGCTTACAAATAATTTGTCTCATTTATATACATGCATGTCTTTGCATGTCTTGGTGGAAATTTCGGAGGAAATTCATGGTCTCCTTTGTTTTTTTCCCTCGCCTTTACTACCTTTCTTTCTCAAAGCAGCATATATTTATTCTATTTTTTTACTTTTTAGAGGACTTCTTCCATGTATTTTCATCTGGGGAGAGCATTTTCTGATGAGGAAACTGTTGATATGTTCTTGTTCTGCCTTTACAAGGAGTTCATTGATAGGACCCAAACAACTAGAATTGTTTTTTTATATTATTATTATTATTTTTTTTTATAAGAAACATCATGCATTAGACCAAAAAAAGGAGAAAACATCCTAAGGACGAGGGCTGAGGAGGCCCTCCCCTAAAGAACTACCACATTACAACTTTCCAATTTCGTGAAACAGCTTCCCAAACAACTAGAATAATATTAAAATATAAAAGATATAATAACTAGAATAACTCCCAAGTAATTTTGAGGTACTTGGATCGTCCATCTCTTGAGTAGTCTTACTCAAGCCTAAATCACACTAAACAATTGCCTACTTCATCCTTTCTTCCTCACCCTATTTATAACAAATCCTTACTGACCAATTTCTTATAATTACTCATATACCCTTACTATTCTATGAATAACTCGATTTACCCCAATGACTATTCCTATCATTCTTTCTTCACTTGGGTGCAGTGATAGTCACATTTGTCTCTTTTGAAGTGTCGAGGAGTTTCTCTTGTAGATTAAAATCCCTAATAAGATCAGGTTTTTTCTCTTGGCCAGTTGCTCATGAGAGAATCAATGTCAACTTTGTCTAAAGGTCCTTGTCTATGGTATTGATGATATCCCAACGGTGGATTCTCTAAAAACAAGTGTTTGAGGATTTGAATCATATTCTATGGAGACATTTTGGGATAAAGGAAAAGACTTTTGGGGGGGTTGTCTCCGTTTTTTTTTTCCCTCTTTTTTCAAGGGGTGTCATGTAGAGAGGTCTTGGGAGCGTTATGGAGTTTGACACATTTTCAGTCCTTCCCTTCGAGTGTTCTTCGGCAAAATATTTTGTTATTACTATACTTCGTTTTTAATTTTTAACAATTGGAGGTTCTTTCTTTTCTTTTCTTTTTTTTTCCCCTTTTCTCGGCAATTTCTTTTAGTCCCCTTTTTTTTTTCCAGCCAATCTCCACAAAAGTGGCCATAATTCTATTCTGCTGATATTTAACAGATCTTTCTCTGTTGCACTGATGCAGGAGCTAACCACTATTATTATATTTGCTTGAACGACTTACTAGCACTTGGAGGTGGTGGTAGCTTTGCCTTATGTTTGGATGGAGAATTGTGAGTTACTTTGTTATTTGCTTGGTACTTTTTTCCACCGCTTGTCATATGGGAAAATTTACTCAATTGCTTTCTTTCATGTAACAAGATTAAGTGGAACTAGTGGACCATGTGACACATTTGGTAGCTTATGCTTGGCGCATGACCCAGAGTTTGAGCTGAAAAATGTTGAGGTAAATTTAATTTCTCAAACATGATGGCTTGAATGTCCACCAATTGACTGGGTGGTAGATCTATCATTTTTAAATATTGTAAAAATTGATGTGAGGTACTGGTGCTCCATAATTCACCTGTCATTACATCATGTTCTTTATGTGAGCATGACAGGTTGCGGTACGGGATTCTATTGGTCACTGCCATGCACGTGCCTTATTCTGCTGTATATTTAGCAATATTATGTGCTCGATTTTATATAAGCTTTTTGGTTTATGCAGTTGTGGGGTTTTGCACATGCGTCAAGATACTTCACCTGAAGACTTTGTTATGATTCTTTTCAGAGTTTGTGCTTATTTTTAATTATTTGTGATTATATTATTCATTCTTCATTTTTTTCCTTTAACTATTTCATTGATTATTTAATTAAAAATTTTTATGCATATTATGCATTCCTGTATTCTACTGTTGACCACACATATTTGCCAATCAGCTGGTTCCAAATATAGACCAGAGAATCAAGAATAAATGAATTTGACAGATGAAATTTCATGCTTCATGTTGAATATTGATCAAAATATAGTTCAGCGGTAATTGACATATATCTCCAACCTCTTAGTTATGAGTTCGATCCCCCACCCCCACATGTTGTACTAAAAAAAACATAGAATTAATATTTATAGTTTTCTAGTTTCCTCTTGATGAACGTAGAAAGACATCATATTCCCTCATTCTCATTAACAATACAGCGAGTATTGAAAGGAAAAAAATTAGAAACCTCAGGTAATTGCTTCACTTGATCCAATGATATAGGTTCTGTATTAACTCAAATTGTTGAAAAATTCATTTCTCACACTGTTAGTATGATGAAGGTTGATCTCTTTAGACTACTTTTAGGTTCCATAATGCTCAGTCTCGAGTGGCAGGGTACTTTGTTTACCTTGGACCTGATTATGTCTTTTATTTTAATGAAAATTGTTATTACTTCAATTTTGATGTCGAATTACAAAATCATCATCTCTTGGGTGAGAAGCTGTTGCACCAATGAAGAAAGAAATACACTCAGGTGCATTTTCCTCCCAGGATGAGGATCTTGGAGTTCTTTGTTTCTTGGAGGAGAAACTTCCTAGAAAGGAAGAAAATGGGAGAGGTTCTTTCTCAGAAGGATTGAACTCTTTCTTCTCCTTTTGGGAGGGAAAAGGCCTAGGAGAGTGACCCCTCCTGTGAAGTAAGATCCCTTTAACATGAGAATTCCCTCCTCTGTATGAATGAGTGAGAGAGAGTCTTGAGTATTTTCACTGTGTATCAACTGTTTTCTGGATTTTTAGAATGATGTGTGTTAATTTAAGGCTTTGGTTGTTGTACATGGATGCTAAGACATGGAACCGGCTTTCTCTCATGAGATTTTGGTTCTAGTTACTCTCAAATCTTATGGATCAATAACTTTATTGGGTTTTGATACCCTCTTCAGATGCTAACTCTAGATTTGTTAATGAAAGATTCTTGATATGCTCGAAGAACGCTATGGTACAAATCCTAACCTGTCATCAAGCTACATTTCATAAATCATAAGTATCTCTATGTGCAGTTCTTTACTACTTCCATCGCACGCCAATAGCAGATGGGCAGGTAAGAGCTCTCTCCTCTTTTGATCATATTGAACTAATATCTGCTGTCTTATATTTGTGGATCCTCTTGTATGCATACCAGTAAAAATCATAGACCTGAGTGAAAATTAAGCAGAAGGGACCCCCCCACCCCAAACAGGAAAAAGATAGGAGGAAAAGCAGAGACAGGTGGATATGACAAGTTTGCAGTTATGGAAAAAGTAGCTGCAAGTTTTGTCTGAGTATCAGTGAAGAGAGCAAAAAGAGGGCCAGAAAACATAAAAGAGTTGAATATATTCACTTCAGAATGGTTAACTGGTGCACTCGATAAGGTGTCTTCCCAAAAACAGGATTCTCTCATTAGTTTGAAAGCCTTATCGTCCAATTAAGGTGACTTGATACGATTTTTGGATGCCTTGAGTTACTTTTTCCCAAAGTACCCACGTCGTATTTGGATGGAGAACAACGACGGAGGGAGGGCGGGGGCAATCGAACGAAGAATATCTAGAACTTGCTTAACCAAATCCTTACATGATAGGGGGCATTTAAAAAGTGAGACAGCCTTAGTAGGTGTTTTTGTAATCTGGTTCTAACCTTTGGTTTCAATCATACATTTTCTACTGACAAAGTTGCATTATAGTTTGTTTTTATTTATTCCCTTCAGCCAGGGCCTCCCCCTTCTTTCCCTTAGAAATGAACACAAGATCCAGGGATTTGGGTATAAATCTATGGAGTAAAAAGATGAGTCCTGAATAGTACAAAATAATGCAGAGAAATTACATTCCTACATCCCCTCAGTGTTTGGAATTGGAATATGTTTCATCTTTAGCAAAGGCAAAGAAATGTACGTAAGATCTGTGGATTGGAACAATATCTCTGAACTGCAAAAGAGCATAAGGTTCAAAACGTGGAGTTAGGCAAGAACATGAACCTTTTTCTTTTCTTTTTTTTCTTCTTTTTGCTCTTATAGAAGGGAATTTCAATGCCAAATGTGGCTAATGCTTGGTGTTTATCATGAAAATGCTTCAAACTTTTACTCAATATATTGCATTGTCTTTGGGCTTGTTTGGCATTATCTTGGATATTTATGAAATAAATTCTTTTTGCTTTGTTGAAGAAGGGAGAGAAAAAAGGAGGGGGATGTTACTTTTTTCTTTTCATTATATTGGTATAAATGTTTATGAACTGTAGTTAGAATTTGAGTTGAATGATTTGGGTTTAATTTTTGAATTTTATAGGTCATGTTTGGTAACCATTTCGTTTTTTATTTTTAAAAATTTTGCTTATTTTCTCGCTACTTTTTTAGTATGTTTTTCAATTTTCTTCAAAATATCTGTGAATTCTTGACTAAATTAAAAAGAAAAAAGGAAAAAAAAGTTTTTGGAAACTACTTTTTTGGTTCTCAAAACAAAATTTAGATTATATTTTGAAAATGTTTTTAGAAGGTTGATTATAAAACAAATGAATACATAAGTGTAAGTAGCAATTGTAAGCTCAATTAGGGTCATTATGTTTCTAAATTTTAGATTATAGATTTAATAGATTGTATAATCTGAAATTCATAGTTAGTAATCAAAACTTTTTTGGGTATGAGTTTGACATTTATAATTCAAGTTTAAGGAAAATAACATGTAATTCATTTAGGCTAGTTTTAGATTATAGATTGGCTTTATTTTTCCTTGGGGAAATTGAAAATTGTCTAACAAAATGATTTTCTTAGAAAGTGATGAGAGAATCCAAATCCAAATGACCAAATTGGCCTAAACAAACTTAAAAAATGATCAAAATTGTTTATTGTTTATTTTTGTTTTTGGTTCTTGATCTATCGTACACTACTTGTTTATTTTTCGACGACGTTATTTAAGTTATAATTTTGTTAAATGGCCTTCATGTTACGTTTAATTATGGATGGTACGACGAAATGTAAGCGATTAGATACCATCGTAACATTGGAAGAATTTTTCGTACTTTTTGGCATTTGGTTGGATTTGAAAGTTATATATTTTTCCCCTTCTTGTGTAAGGTACATGTAATAACAAATAAATAAAGAAACATGTGGAGACCTGATCTTATATAGGAGTGGAGAATCTTCTTTTTTTTTAGAAAAAAAAACTAGTAGGGACCAAGGAAATTCTTTTTCTCCATCTTAATCTTAAGATACATTTTTTGTTTTTTACTCCGACCTCGACCTTATAGTATTAATATTTTATATGTCATGATTATATTCCATCTCTCGTACACTAACGAAAGATTATTAATAGTATAGATTCCACTGCGTTTTAATTTTAAATGAGTATTTTCTTATAATTAATAAATAAATGAGAAACAACTGAACCAGAGCTTCTTAAAATTTCAATTGAAAACAACAACTTACGACTCATAGTGAGGTTAAGAAAAATGTCAAATCTCCACTTTCTACCTGCGTCTTATTTTCTCAATGATGAACTAGAAATGACAAATAATATAAGATTCTCGTCGTTTATGAAAATTTGGTTAGTATAAAAATACAAAAGTTTAGGATTAGAACCTTTTTTATCACATGGTGGTCAAATCAAGTGTAGATTCTCTTTTTTATCACTCTCAACCAAAGACAAAAGAACGATGAATTGCCCAATAAAATAGCATATAAATAAATATATGAAGAAATGAGATGACAAGAGATCAAAATTTCTTAGATATCTAATCAAAACTCTCTCAAATCTTGGCTAATCATGTTTTGTTCTTTTATCCCAATTCTAGGAACCAAATCTTATCTTCATTTATTTTTATAAAAAAAATGGCCAATTGTCCTCTTCTCATTGGGTGGTTGGAGATAATTTTATGTTCTAATGTTTTAAAATCATATAATATGATCAGGGAATTTTGTTACATAATCATCATTTCATTGGAAATAATAGTGTAAATGATTTTTTTTAAATTGAAATTGATTGGAATCGAAATCAAATTCTAATTCATATGACTTAGTTACATCAAGAATATGAATAAAAACTAATGATAAATCAATTATGAAATGTCCTTTTCCATGTGAAAGTGATAAAATTTTGCATATTGCATTAGAAGATAGCCAAAATATATCAAATTAACGAATCCAAGTAATATTTGTCAAGTTTTTTACAGTGGTATGATCATTTCTCAATTGATTAAGATATTCATAACCACTCTTAAAAGGTCGTAAGTTTGATTCTTTTCCTTATTTTAATATATAGTTGTAATTCTACTTTGGTATTTTTATTTTACGCTTTTATTTATATTGGTTTCTCTACTTTCAAAACATCAATTTCTATCCCTATATTTTAAAAAATTACCGTTTTAATTTGTATTTGCAAAATCTCAATATAAATTCTATGCCTAACAAAAATCTTTTTTAATATGAAGTTAGGAAAATATTTCAAGAAGTTTATTGAGCATAGTGTTGTGCTAAAACTATGATCGCAAAAATAAGATGAAAAAAGAAAACAAAAGAACTGAATGATCACCTTTTTAAAGCGCAAAAAAACCAAAATAAAAATGGATAAAAGTTAGCAAATAGGAACTAAGATTGAACTTAACGTTAATATATATACACGCATATACAAGTTTTAAAGTTTATTTTAGTCCATATACTTTCAGTTTTAGTTCATTTTGATTATTGTACTTTTAATCTCGCTACTTTCAAAACATCCATTTTGGCCACCGTACTTTTAAAACATTACTAATTTAAACCTTATTTGTAAAATTTTATACACAATGGGAACCATTTAATACAAACTTATGACTACACATCAATAAATTTAGTAAGTGAAGTATCCAAGAAACAAATGAGATAAAATAGAAAACAAAACGTTTCCAACAAGTGGGAGTGGAGGATTCAAATTCATAATCTCTTGATTAGAGACAGATGCTAATTACTGCTTGGCTAAGTTCATATTTGCTAAACTTTATTTTTTTAGCACAATGTATGAGAGTAGGGTATTCGAACTCATGATATTTTAGTTGGACATAGATGGTTGGACCCTTCGAATTACGTAAGCATTTTAAGTTTTTGATATAAAGAAAACATGGTGACTAAAAATCCAAAATTGAAGACAAAAGTTGTCCACGTGTCAAAAGGAGATCAAAATACAACGTTAAACCAAGATATAGAATGGCCCACCGCGACCGTCGGGTTGACCACTCGGGGATTGTCTGGCTGACTACTACGGACTTCATATCCAAACTTAGAAAAGCAATTTGTCACAATTAACAAACTCTTTTGGACACCCCATTTCTCTTACCCAAAAATAACTACCCCTCTCTCTCTCTCTAGAAAAATCAAGAATTCAGAAAAAAAGAAATTAAGAAAAAAAAAACACACACACACACAAACAAATCCCCCTTTCTCTTCATTTGTTCTATAAAAACTGTCTCTGTTATTTCTGTTTAGCTTCCCATATGGAGCTTTATTGCCATACCCCATTCCCTTTCTTCCCCCATTCCACTGCACTTTCTTCTCCTCTTCACCAAACCCCATTCTTCTTCTCTTCATTCACATTTTGAAAAATATCCCCTTTTAAGATTTTGTGTTGGAGCTATGTTGCAGGACGTGGTCCGCCCCGCGCCGGAGCAAATGCTTCCCATTGTAATGTTCTTATCCTTTTGCTTTTTCTCTTTTTTACCTGCGAGTGTTTGGACCAGCTTGCACGCAGCTTGACAGCAGGAAACTTTTGTGGTTCTTTGTTTGATATGAGTTTGATTTTGATGTATGTCCATAACGTTCATGACAAAATTCCCGGCTGTCATTTTAGTTCTATGTGCTTGGGAAATAGGCTTGAATTCTTCTTTTTACCTTTTTGATAACGGTTTGTGGTGGTGGGGTCAGCCTGCATGCACCTTGACTAATTAGACATCTGCATAATATGAAATTTTGTCTCTGTTTCTATGTTTGTTCATAAGGTTTATGACAAAATTCCCAGCTGTCATTTTAGTTCTTTGTGCTTGGGAAATAGGCTTGAATTCTTCTTTTTACCTTTTAATAACGGTTTGTGTTGGTGGGGTCAGTCTACGTACAACTTGACTAATTAAACAGATGCATAATAGGAAACTTTGTCTCCGTTTCCATGTATGTCCATGAGGTTTATGACAAAATTCCCAGCTGCCATTTGGGTTATTTTATCCTTGAGAAATGGGCTCTTTTTTCTTTTCTTTTTCCCTTCCTTTTGATAATTGTGGAACATGAGGCTTCTAAATCTTCTTGTTCCAACATTTTTGGTTTGGATTCTTGTTCAAAACGAGGGAGAATCATGGCAAGCATCTCACATGGGTGTGTTGTTTTTGGTGATCTTAAATGCTCTTTGTTTGACCAAACTGGGAAATCTCCCACTAATCCAAACCAAATTTAGTACCCCATTAGCCTTTAATCTTTCTTTTTTGTTTTGGAAATCCTACATGTCACATGAGCATAAATGCACATCTCTTTCAACTTTTCACAACAACAAACTTGCAGCATTAGACGCCATTCCTTCCTTTTGATTATTTCACCCAAATTCTTTCACAAATTCTGGTTGCTTTAGATTGCTGTTCTAAAATATCATCTTCAACTTCTCATACATATATACTTACCATCTTCTGGGCTTTGAATATGAAGAATCGTGCTTCTTCTTCTAGCTTGTTTGAAGAGATGGTCGCTTTCTGCACGGCCGTGCCTAAGGGCATATTGGTTGAAGTTGAAGTAGATTTCTTCCTTTTGATCAATCTAAGAAACCCCTATTATTCTTGTTTAGTCCCCGGTTCCGGTTTTTGTATTTCTTCTCATGGTTTTTGATATTGGGTTTTCAGGAAGAGATGTCGAGTCCAATCAATGGTCAGATGTTTGATTTCTGTGATCCCGAGCTGTTCTCGGAGACTCTCCAGAACTTGGAGTTCAATTCGGGCTCGAATTGCTGTTACGAAAAGAACTCCTCTGACCATTCCCCAGAAACAGAGAACCACATCGCAGCCGGTGGTGCGGTGTTTATACCTGCCACCGACGCATCGGCTGCAACAAACAGTAATCTCACAGCTATCTTCGATTCCCAAGAAGAACTCGACAATGACATCTCTGCTTCCATTGACTTCTCCCCGTCCGCTTCATTTTCCATCCCTCAATACCTGACCATCCAGTCAGCTGGGCAGTTTGATGTTTGTCAAATGCAGGCCCAAATGCCATTAGTAGACCCCAATCCCATCATGGAGGGGCTGGTGCAGTGCCCCATGGCTCCAGTTGAAGACTTGCCTTCCATTTATGTTGACGATTGCTTGTCTTCCTTGACTTCCAACTTGCCACTGAATCCTTCCTCCCCTTCCTGCTCCTTCGTGGGAGCAACCATGGCAACTTACCTGCCAGCATCAGCAGCGTCGGTCGAAAGTTGCGGCGGAATCTTCCCTCTGATGGGCTCTGAATTGCAGCCACAAGACCTGGACTTTCAGGGCGACAACTGTGGACTCTACAGCCAAGACTGTTTGCAGGGGACTTTCAACCCAGCAGATCTTCAAGTAAACTCTAGTCAAATTGAATACATAAATCGTGTTGCTTCGACACGATTTCTCCGGTTTCTCACTCAACATTCTGTTATGTTTCTGTATATTACAGGTGCTCAACAATGAGACCCTGCAACTGGCGGGTGGGGCAATGAACTGCACTTCTTTAGCATCGGATCTCTCGAGCTTGAAGGACAGTACTTTCAAAGTAGGGAAACTGTCCGTAGAAGAGAGGAAGGAGAAGATTCATAGGTACATGAAGAAGAGAAATGAGAGGAACTTCAGCAAGAAAATCAAGGTCCTTCTTTTTCTTTTCTCTCTTTATAATCAAAACTCGAAATTTCGCTGACTCCGAAACCAAAATCGACAGTATGCCTGCCGAAAAACACTAGCAGATAGCCGCCCACGGGTTCGGGGACGGTTCGCCAAGAACGACGAATTGACAGAGAATCATAGGACAGCTTCTAGCAACCACGAAGGAGATGAAGAAGAAGTAATTAAGCTCCCTTAGAGAACACTTTTTTTCGGTGTTTATCTGTCACCATTTATCTTCGTACTGATCACCAATGAAAACTCCTAACATGTTTTTAGTTTTTTTTAAGCAAAAAAGAAAAAGAAAGTATTTCTCTCTTCTAGTCAAAAGTTTAATAATAGTAGGTGCAAGCACGTAATAATTTTTTTTAATATGTATTATATTGGTTTTTTTTTTCTTTTTTTGCAGGTAGTTGTGAAGGAAGAAGATAGTATGGTTGATTCCTCAGATATCTTTGCTCATATCAGTGGAGTGAACTCCTTCAAGTGCAACTATCCAATCCAATCTTGGATTTGATTTTTTTTTTTTTATGTTGCTTTCTTTAAATAAATAACCAAAAAAGAAGGAGAACAAAACAAAAAAAAGGAAAAAACTACAATTTTGCAGGACCCAACTTGAGTTATGAATATTAGAAAAACTTTTCTGATGTGCAGTAGAAAGAGAGTGATGGAAGGGTCATAAAAATAGAAATAAGTTTGAGTGAGGTCACCTAGCAATCAAACTTAGCACTTTTCAATTTGTAGATATTTCATCAACAAATTCAAAATCTTTTATTTGTGTACATGTTAGGGGTTTATGCCCTCACATTTATTAATATATATATTTATATATCTATATACGTGTGTTCACGTTTAATTCTATGGTTGTATACTGTAATAGTTGTGTCGATGTGTTTTTTTCTCTCTATAATTTTTACTTTGAAGTGCATGAGGAATTAGCTGTCGTTCTTTTGATGGTGCAATGACCTTTGAAACATAATCTTATATACAATGCGCCTCGTTAGATGATAAAGTAAGTAGTACTTGACCAATGAATGAGGTAAGCAAACATATTCGAAAAACCAAGTTGAATGACAGAAACTTCGGTTTGGTCAGTTTCAGCCGATAGATAAGTTATCAAGTATATAATATATTTTAATTTAATGCCCAGGGCATCCCCAAATCCCACCCCAATCACCTTCATCTTCTTCTTTAGCATTTACGAGCGTTGCTCAGTTGCTCTCCTTCACTTCTATTTCTTACTCTCATTCAGTGTTACGAGTCCCATATTCTTCTTAATCTTTGCATTATACTTCAACTGTTAAGTTTGATTTGGATGTATCTATTTAGTCACCTGTATATAGAAAAATATGTATTAGATTTAAATTGAAAACATATAGATCAAACCAATCGATCCACCAAAAGATATAGGTAAATAAGACCCCAAATTCTATAAGGCCTTGTATTTTTCATATAACATATATATACTATAATATTATTATATATTTATTTTAATTTTTTTATAAATGTTTTTCTAATAGTATTAATAAAAGAAATAAAGTAATAATATATAATTTTGAAGGTAAGAAAAATAAATTTTAAATAAATAAATAAATATTTATTTATTTATTTTAAAGTTTAAATGATAGACTTATATTCTATATTAAAGGTTTTTTTAATTAAAATATTGTCTAAAATCCCAGGTGTTGAGAGGCTAGACTAGAGCGTTGACCACGTGGATCAAACTCCCCCTTAAGGAAACAACACACATGGAGCTAATCGGTTAGGAAAGAAACCTTGGACTCCCGTGCCAATAGTGAATAGCAAGTCAACTGCATGCATAATAATATAATAGACCAATGAGACCTGTAACTCTTCTGTAGTATTTACAAGCGTCGTACCTAAAACTAATCTGAGCGTTGTATTTATTTCTGCTGATCTCTTCTCTCAAACTCGTTAGCTCCTGTTTAGATCATTCTACGACATTTAGGTAGATTTTGACATTAACACCATGTAATCTCGAAGCCTCGACCGATCAATGATTGATGTAACAGGGAAACAAAATTGGTTTATTTGTACTGGAAAACAAAAATGGCTCGATTTCCATGAGAGAACTGAGTTTGATTATTATTATTATTTTTTTTGATTTGAGCGAGATAGAATTGAAAATTTTAAAATGCAAAAAGAAGAAAAAGAAAAAAAACTTAATTTTAAATTAATGGCAACTTATTCGTATTGGGCCCTTACGAAAGAAACCCTAGATTCCATCTTTATATAAAATGGCAACAAGCCCCAAAGCTTCTCAGTTTCTCCTTTCGGCGGGCAAAAATGTCGAAGCGAGGTAAGCAAACCCTAATGCCCTTTCTCTCTATTCTTTTTTGTTCTTCCTGCCTTCTGTTCTCGAAACAACATGTGATGGCTCGATTTACTTCAGAAACATTCATCTTTGCGTTTATTATTATTTTTATTTTTATGTATTGTGCATCTAACCCACGATTTATTAGATGAGATTAATTGATTCGATTTATTGTGTGTGAGCTCTGGAATCTATATGAACGATTTGTTTGTTGTCGGTCTAGGGCGCGGAGGATCTGCGGGTAACAAGTTCAGGATGTCACTGGGTCTACCGGTGGCGGCGACGGTGAATTGTGCCGACAACACTGGAGCCAAGAACCTGTACATCATCTCAGTGAAGGGCATCAAGGGCCGCTTGAACAGATTGCCATCGGCTTGTGTTGGCGACATGGTGATGGCCACTGTCAAAAAGGGGAAGCCCGATTTGAGGAAGAAGGTCCTTCCGGCTGTCATTGTCAGGCAGCGCAAGCCGTGGCGGCGAAAGGATGGTGTTTTCATGTACTTCGAAGGTATATATCTCTTCTTTCTTAATAGAGTTCTAGCTTTGATCTGGAATTATTTTTTCTTGTTGTCGTTTGTCTAAACCAAGAGAATTTCATTATCAACATGCCTGTGGAAGCTAAGATAGTGCTTGCCCGTTCTTTGATTTACTATATATGTGATGGTTCTTTGAGTGATAGATACCAAACATATCCAAGTTTTGAGTTTCTTCAGACGTTATTATAAGTGATTGCCATGCTGAATTGTGGTTACCTGCATTTTCCATATCCAGTGAATTTCATTATTAACATGTCTCTTTAATCTAAGATAGGCCTTGTCAGTTCATTGATTTCTATATCTTTGAGGAATACATATTATTAAAAAAATCCTAATTTCTTGGATGTTTATTTTTAGCCTCTGAGGTGAGGCGCTGCTATGTTGTCAAGGGCCTTGGGCCTTTGGGCATACTGACTCAGATTAGGTCTATAGTGCGAACCTTTGAATGAACTTTGAATTAGCACAAAAAAATCCTGGGATGTCCTGGATTTGAGCCTTAGGGTGGGTGCCCTAGGTAGAGGGAGCGAAACTGTGACTTTTGGTTATAAAAAGGTAAAATCCTAGTTTTGAATTCATTGGATGTTTCTTTAGTTTTAAGAAGTTGTAAGAATTTGTGTTTGGAACTTGTTTAGTAAAGTGGGGTGGTTTTTTTATGATCTTTATTGGGATGCTTTTTTGGTAAAGGTTCGTTCTACCGAATTTACCATGAATTTGTTTATCCCATATATGCAATTAATTGAAATCTGGTTGTTTTCCTATTTTCTATTAATATCTCTTTTAAAGCAAAAACTCAAACGAAAATTGAATAAAAAATTTATATGTTGGAGGAGAAGAGTTACTATTAAATCTTTTATTTGGAAAAGAGCATTCATTGTCAATTCAGTCAAATTTGCAATTGTTTTTTGATATGGACTAAATACAACCTTATTTTAACTAATAAGTACCAAACCACCTGTATTTCCTTTTTTTTAATATAAGAGTACAATAGTTTGCCATCCAACTCCATTTCCAGGCATAAGTCAGGTATCCTCCTCACTATCAATGGTTGATACAGTTACGAGTCTGGTAAATTGACGGTGTCCATCGTTGCAGATGTGCTAAAGCTTTCATGCTCATATCTGCTCCATGTGGGCAGTACATTGTTCAAGTTTAATATACTTCAATTTTTAATTTTGTTGTGCCCTCCAGTATGAGAACAGCCCCCAAACAGAAGTTTATGGTAATTTTAGAATTGATATATTTGAATTTGAGTACAAGTTTCTGATTTCAAACTATACTGTGTCTGCAGATAATGCAGGCGTGATCGTGAACCCAAAAGGAGAGATGAAAGGTACGATTCGGTCATCATCTAAAAGTTTCACTTTCTCCTTGTCTTTTCGATTTACTTGTACAGGTTATAAAGTTGGTTTTGTTGCTCTGCTATTATAGGTTCTGCAATTACTGGTCCCATTGGAAAGGAGTGTGCGGATTTATGGCCTAGGATTGCTAGTGCAGCCAATGCTATCGTTTAGTGTTCTTCATTTCTAGAGTTCAATCCTTCTCAATTCTGTGATTTTAACAGCTCGTCATTTTTGATATCCGAGAAAGAAAGTAACTTATTATATTAGCGACCTCTATGAATGTGAAGTTTATTGGAATATTTTTGAAAGAATGAATTAGATTTGAGTTGATATGAAATTGTTCCATGAATTAGCATGTTTAAGGTGAGCTTTGATTGTGTCCATGGATGCAGGTTCTTAGGTTAAAAGAGATGAATTTTTGTTCTGTTAAAAAAAAAAAATTCTTATTTTATGTTGTTCTCACTTCTCAGTTCTTACTCCCACTACTACTCAGTAGTTGATTTGGTTGGTTTGATCATAGTACTTTAATTTAGTCCAAGTTTAGTTGGCAAACGGGTTCTGGAAATGTTTTTCTGTCTCCTTATATTTTGTTTAAAAAATAGAAATTCTTGGTGTCAATACCAATGAATTCTAGAATTTTAGGAATAAATTGAAAATAAAACAAAAAACCAGAACTATTTTATTTTTAATTTAACAAATGTTTTTAACGAACAAGAAATGTAAGTTGTCAATTGCTTGGAACAAGAAATGGAGTGCAGTTTCTAGGGAAATTGAGATCTTCAAAAGTTGATCCACCTTTTCAAAATGTGCCCAAAACCTATTTGAATATAAAATTAAATTTAAAAGGAAGTTAAATGTGCCCAAAACCTATTTGAATATAAAATTAAATTTAAAAAGAAGTTAAATTTAAAAGGAAGCGAAATTACAGTACTACCATTTAGTTCAATATTGCTCTTCTTTCTCTCTATTTTAATGTATCTATTAGGTATTTTTTCGTTGATTTCGTTGTCCGATTTTACTTTTTTTTCGTTTCATGTTATTTGTTGATTTTTAGGAAGGAACGTCACTCTTGTTAATCCTCTGTTATTTTTCTCGGGTTCGACCTTGGACGAGGTTTAGCCCGAGGTATTTGAAGAGGCTCAACCTCGAGGTTACCTCGAGGTCGAACCTAAGAAAAATAACAGAGAGCACAAACTTTCGAGCGACTTTCAAATTTCAATCCTTGCTCGAGGTTTCTAAGCATCTGGAAAAGTCCTCAGTCTCAACCTCGGGCGAGACTGCACCTGGGAAATTTTTCAAAGGCCTACTAGAACCTCGAGCAAGGTAGGTTTGAAATTTCTTCCAAACATCGCTCGAGGTCGAGTGTCTTTTAATTACCTTGGGTTCAACCTCGCCCTAGGTCATTCCCGAGAATTTTGACAGAAACTTAACAAACCTTGAGCGAAAGAATAAATTTCTTCAACCTCGTTCGAGGTCCATCTCACTTCGCGAGTTTGCCCTTATTCTTCTAACCCCACCACAAATATTTTAAATAAACCTCACATCACTAGAAATTAAATCGATGCAATGTAATTCTTGTATTCGTTCATCCAAACATCGAAAAACAGAATCGATGGAAAAATAAAACATTAAACTCCTCAACAGCGATGGAAATCGAAGCCCTAACATTCAAATCAATGAAAAAGAACAAAAATTAACAGAAAAGGAGATGGAACGAAAGCGATTTCAAACGGAGAAGATGATGGAACAGAAGCGAACAGAAGGGTAATAGTGTAATTTCATTTCTTTGGTCATTTATTTTGAAAGAGGAGGTCAAGGTCATTTCGTTTCTGACCCTATATTTTAGAAATTTCCCCAGTTTCTAACCCTATATTTTAGAATTGAGCCTTGATTTTAATTTTTTCCTATCATAAAAGATGATAGAGTTTTTTTATAATATGTAGATGTAATAATAATCAACCATAGCGAATCTTAATGTTGAGTTTACAACATAAGTAGATGTAACAAAAAATCTATAAATTAATTTTTCATGGTAGGAATAAATACAATTAATTTTTCATGGTAGGAATAAATTATTATAGATTATAAATTAAAAATTAATGAGCTAATTTTGGACTCTACATTTTGATTCATGGTTGAGCTTAAAGTAGACGACTAAGAAAGAAGTAGCAAAACGTCGGATTTTTCATTTTAAAAAATGGAGTTTACAAACACAGTACCACTACAACACTATAACAAAGATTTCAAGTTAAAATGTTTTGAAATTTGACAAAAAAATTTAACAATAAAGTAATGTCTGATGAGCTACATCCTGAAAAATGTGAATACACCAAAGTAAACGTAAACATAATTTCACAATATACAAAACAACCATATAAAACAGAAATTATTACAGCAACACAAAGAAAGGAAGATAAGTAGGAGATTAGATTATTGGATAGTGACAGTGATAGCTAGAAGGAAGATCAGTACATCTTGTATTGGGTACCCATATTCATCTTGGCGCAGTACTCAAACAAGCTCCCATCGAAGCACCTCCTTACCGCTTCTTTCGACAAGAACCCGTCCTCGTCCCTCGCCAGCACGTAGAGCACAAACCATTCCACCTTCGACGCGAACCTACATTGTCATAATATGGATCACAGATAAATCAAAGAGATTATTATATTCACGTGGTTTTATCTTAGGTGTTCCTTGATGGAATCATTAAGGATTACCATCCATAGACATCGAAAGCTAGACGGTTGCCTTGAGTCATGTCCCATATCTCCCCCAGCGAAAGCTTATCCGGGTATGTCCTCGCATACTTGCTAAACATGTTCTCAAAATTTGCCGGTACATACCTACGTCAGTTTACCGAAATGGTTATCAAACGAGACTTTTAAGAGCAAAAACCTCTCTTAGCCCTCTCGTAGGGTTAGGGAGTGTAGTGTACCTTCCTTCGGTGTCGTAGGTTCCAGTGTCGCTACCGTGTTTGTTTTTGTGTATGTTGTATATGTATATAGGCAGAAATGGTGACGGGATCCACCCCTACATAGAAACCAAAATATCAGAGGTTCGAACTGAACTTAAAGAAGAAAAAAAAATCCAATCTTTACTTACAGGTAGAGTGGGGTAGCTCATAGTGAGATTTACAACAAAGGCCAGAACCAGCGACATAATCACGTTGAATCCAATCGCTCTTAGCCCTGAAAAAAATAAGAAGTTGGGAATTTTGTGAACTCAAAAACAGAAGAAAACAACAGAGAATGGAAATGTATAAGCATATACCAGTGTAAGTCTCCCATGGATAAACGATGCCGTTGTCGTCTTGGTCGAAGAAGGCGGCGTGTTGCTGAAGAACGGTCATTTGGTAGTGCTGATGGCCCACCGTTCCAGCGGGGTGGTTCGTGTCCGGCGCCACCAGTGCCCGCGCCAAGTCTGCTTTCAAATAAAGTACTCAAATTAAACTCAGTTACTTTGATTTCTTCATATTTGAACAAACAAATTAGGAAGTTTCAGAGAGGGACATGGCTTAGGTAGCGTGGTTTCCAGGTCACTGCGGACGCTCCGGTCTTGAGTCACCGGCGCGAATCGCGCCTCCGTGGCGGTTGCGTCGCTGTCCATTACCGTAGAAGCAGCAGCAGCCATGGCGGTGGATCAGAGATTGCGATTGAAGAAAATGGAGTTTGAGCTGAGCTAATAAAGAGACGAAACCGATTGAGGTGGCTGTGTGTGTGGCGAATTCCTAGTCTGCATGCCAATTTGATCGACACGAGCCCCCAAATTCATGATCATCTTTCCCTCCTCTGCCGCTCGATAACATCGATGTGATTTGCCCTTTTCACGGGCCTTCAAAAATGAAGTTTTGAAGCTCGGCCCATAATTTTGGGCCTAGGGCTTGAGAAGACGCGTGCTCTGGAGAAACCCAATTTGTGGTATGAAACTTATAAGCCTAAATCTTCGTCGTCTCTGCTTTGTCGATTGATTGATTTTTTCCTGCCCCCAATTCCTCCAAGCTGAAGATGGCCGGTGAGGTAGCGGTGGAAGGTGCTGCGGCTGCGGCGGCGGAAGTAGCTGATTCGAATCAGCAGTCCCACAGATTGGAGAGGAAGTGGACCTTTTGGTTCGATAACCAGTCCAGGCCGAAGCAAGGTGCTGCTTGGGGCACTTCTCTGCGCAAGGTCTATACCTTCGACACCGTCGAAGAATTCTGGTGGTAGGTTCTTCGATCCCATGCTCCGCTAGGGTTAAATTAAGCTTGAATAATGATCTGGGTTGGCGCTAAATTACGTTTTGGTGCAGTTATTTTTCTGTTATGATAGATTAGGGCATGGCTCTTATGGTGTGGGTCATGTTTTCGATTTTCTTGCGAGTTGAACCATGATTTGGTACGAGTTAATTAGATGAAACCCATTAGACAGACCAGATTCGGTATTTACGATTTGGAATTTCGAGTTCTCTGCAGTTTGTACGATCAGATATTCAAGCCGAGCAAGCTGCCGGCTAATGCAGATTTCCATTTGTTCAAATCTGGAGTTGAACCGAAATGGGAAGATCCTGAGTGCGCTAATGGAGGAAAATGGACTGTCACAAGCAGTAGAAAGGCTAACCTTGATAACATGTGGCTGGAAACGGTAAAGAAACTGTAGAATATTATTATGTTATGCGGCTAAAAATTTACTGTTGGCCACATGAATTTGTTGTTAATGTGATCTAAAACTGCATGTTTTGTTTCTTGTCTAGTTGATGGCTTTGATTGGGGAACAATTTGAGGAGTCTGATGAGATCTGTGGCGTAGTTGCTAGTGTGCGCCAGAGGCAGGACAAACTTGCATTGTGGACCAAGACAGCCACAAATGAGGCTGCCCAGGTTTGGCATTACTTCTCATTTGTACTCGTTGCTTTTGCGTGTTTTTACTGTTTTTGTATGCGGTAGTGATAGCCTGTAATTCGCGAGATTACTATTTACTGCACATTTTTGGCATGAGCTTTGTTCTATTTTTTTTATCTTTGAGGCTTTGGTTTGGTTCTTCCTGCTAACTATGGTCCTCTCTGAGATATTATGTGATGTTCCTAGTCGTCTTTATGAATCTTATGTTATGTTGATTACCAATTATGTTTTGCCCCTCCTGTTTGCTTAGTTTTGGCTCCTTTTGGGGCTGATTTTTGTATTGCCTATGTGTATTCCTTCATTTCCTCTATCTAAAAGGAAAGTTTGGCTCAATTTCTTAGATTTATTTAAAGGATTCCAGTACTTCTTAGTTCTTTTTTAGTACAACAAATGTGGAGGTGTGGATTTCTTAGATTTGGCAAGGATTCCGGTGCTTAATGTATTGTTTCTCGGTTTTTTCTTAGAATTTATCTATTTCATTAGATTGGGAGCCATTGCATGAATTATATATTGCTTTTATCTTAAATCAAATGCATTTATTAAGTGACATTTAGCTGGCCTGGGCACACGGATTTCAAAAAAAAAGAAAAAAAAAAGTGACATTTAGAACCTAAGAGTAACCTCAATCTGCAATGCAATGGACTAGGGAGGGCACTTTAGGATTTGGCTTATTCAATTGTTTGCAAAACTCAGAGATTGACCCAAGGCATTCCCTCTCTTTGTCGCATAGACGACTTCTTTAGAAACTAATTAGGTTATCCTTCTCGACAGCATGTTTGAAGCTCTAACTTGTCTAAATATTCTAAAGACAATCTGTGACTTACTCTGTCGCTTTTCATCAATCGACGCAGATGAGCATCGGAAGGAAGTGGAAGGAAATAATCGACGTCACTGACAAGATTACCTACAGCTTTCATGTAAACTTAACTTTCATTTTCCTCAACACTCTCTCTTTTGTGCTCCCATTTCTTATATCACATCTTTGGCTGTTGGCTGTTTTATTTCATTGCAGGAGGACTTGAGAAGGGAAAAGTCAGCAAAATCCCGATACAATGTCTGATCATTGACTCAGTCACATGTGCTGCTAAATTTTGAGGATAATACCAAACGATATATTTCGACATACTCGTTATTGTTATCTCTTTTTGGGTCTGTTTTGAATTGCTCAGAATTTTCCTTGATTGTAGTAGTGTTGTGATATTTTTTAGACCATTCCTATCGAGAAATGAAGCAATATTCTACTGATATTATGTAAAATTGTATTGTATGTCTTTCATAATCATGTTCAGAGAGCAGGCTGTGGCTGTGGCTGTGGCTGTGAGATGGTTTCGTTTTGAACATTGATTCTGTGTCTAAAAAGTGAAGAGTTATGAAGAAAATAATATTACAACTGATGGAGATGAAGTGAATGGAATAGAAAACAGGAGAGCAGAAGAAGGAGATTGAAATTGCAGCTGATCAGGCAAGGAATCCAAGTTTCTCTCCATTCTTCTTGGCCAGCCTTATTAATCCTTGTCTTTGCTTTCCATCTGCTCCAATTGATTTGCAAAACTCTGTGATTACCTGATCAACACCATCAATTTCACAACACATTACAAAATCTGAGGTTATGTTCTACATGTGTCTTAGCTATAGTTGATGGGTTCGATTCGGTTTTTTCGGCTTTGGGTTTATCGAAACTCAGCTTATGACAACATACAATTTCCAACGTTTCAACTGATGAGTTTGACTTAGCTTGGTATGATTTCTGTGCACTCATATACGATTAGTTAAAAAAAATTTTGGTAAACTATTTTGTACTTTCAGCCTTGTCCTCTTCTAATATTGTTCACTTTACTCGTTAATTTTCTGTAGGCCGTTTGTTTTAGCCTCAAGTTGATTAGATTTAATTGGATCATCGTGTCTAGGTCTTTTTATTATTATTATTATTTTTTATAATCATCAGCTAGTATTATTATTTTTTTTTTTAATTTTTATAATCATCAGTTAGTGTGATTCTTTTGAAATTTCTCATATAAAAAAAAACATTATAGCCTTCGTAATTTTGAAACGTTTTTGTACTTTTTTTAATATGACATGTGGGAGTGAGAATTCGAACTCATTATAAGTGTGTTAACTTGTTGAGTTAAATCTAAGTAGACAATTTTTTTATATTCTTAAAAAATGACTATTTTGGTCCTCTTAATTTTATTTTTATCTTTTTCTAAATCACATTTCATTCCTTTAATTTTGAATAAAATTTTACTTGGTCACTTTATAAAGGTAAGACTAAAACTAAAGAACGTTTTGAGAGCACTAGAACTGAAATTACATGAACTAAAATAGTGTTTAATTTTAAACTAACTTTTTTCATCTGAAATTAGAGCTTGAATTTACAAATTTTATTTTAAAAAAATCCTTTTGAGCTTGAATAACTTCTTAAATACTCCTTTCTTGTATATCATTAATTTAAATTTTTTTGCTTAATTGAGATTTAAAAAAGAAAAAGAGCTTACTTGGGAATGCACGGCGATTGCTTTGCCCCTAAGCTGATTGAAGCGCTTCTTCCCGATGAGATTCCGAGCAACCACAACCAACGGCGCAAAAACCCCTTTCCCCTCATTCACGTTCTTCATCATCGGCCGGAATCGCACCGGCTTCCCCACTCTCACTTGCACCGCCGCCGTCTTCGCCGCTGCCAGCGCCGCGTAGTCCTCTCCGGCCACCGAAGACCCCCAGCCTCCGAAGAAAGAAGAAGAACAAGCCAATCCAGTCGCCGCCATTGAAACAGCTTCCTCTTCTCCTTCTCCTTCTCAGGTACAATTCCAAACTCCTCCTTTCTTTCTCTGCCTCTCTGTTGTTGTGGCCTCGATATTTGGATGCGAAATGTGGGTGAGGAGTATGAACCACACAGTGCGTTGTTAGGGTTTTGGCATTTAGTTGAATTGAATTGTTCATGTGATTTGTCTTCCTACGGTCCATAATTTGGAAGCTGTGGATTGTATTGTGTTGTGATTCTGTTGGGAAGGGCCCTTATGCTCGTAATCTTATCATCGTGGCTCCATCTCAGCCGCGAAGAAGAAGACGAGAGGACCCCATTTCAGAAAAATTAAAAATATAAAAAAAGAATTTAAGGTGTCCATAAATTGGGGATGGACTGTTTTTTTGGATACCTCGACGGAAGAACTTGCTTGGAAATTGACTAAATAGTCGTATGTTTCCTTGTATTTTCTAGTGCCGTAATTGATTGGTATAATTTTTTTTCCTCTTATTGTTATTATTTTTTTAAAATTCAAGGTTGGGAGATCAATTTCAATTCTACCCAGATTGACTAGAATCTTACTTGCCAACTAAGTAAGTTGGAAGGTACTTTTTTTTTTTTCACTCACTTGTGTTGAAGCGTAAATTTGGGAGTGGATCTAATCGGGTGATCCGAATCAATCTTATGGGTGATGAATTGGGGAAGGACGAGACTTTGGCTTGGAGAGCCACAAGTGAGGTCTGATCACTGTACTCTAATGCTTAAGTCAGAGTTTCAACTTAATTTTCGTAACAGTAGATAATAAGAGAAAATATCTTCGGAGGCTGTTTTAGAAACTTATTTACATGAATGTCTAAATTTACACTTTTAGATTTCTGCMGGTATGATTTTAATTTAATTCCAAATTTACCCTTGGATTTTGATTTTTTGAAATATAAAATAGTTATTTCCATAAATTAATATCACAATCCTTTAATAAATGTGAGCTCCATATTAATTACCAATTCAAATCCCTTAATTCACTCATTCAAATTGCTCAAAAAGATGGATTTGCTTTATTTACCAATATTATTAGTTAAAAAAATATTCAAATTTTGTCATCCCATTTTTTCCGATTTATCTTCTTCGTTCACGGCTACTTGTAACATTTCGATTTTTCTTCCGATTCATACATCTTCCTTCACTGCTATGGTGCTACGACACTTTCCCGATTTCTGCTACGGTGCACGGTGCTACAATGTTTAAGCCTAAATGTAATTATATGCACATGATATATAATTCAATAAAGATTAAGATAACGAATTTCACTTAAAAATGTACTTCTACCAAAAGAAAAAAAAAAGAATTACCATCATCACCTTTTTGGTTGTCATATCATCTTGTTTCTTCTTCCCCTTTAATCTTGTCACACCATTTTTTAATTTTTTCAACCTTTCAATTATTGGGATATCATCATCCTGCATTATTCCAAATTCAAATTATACTACTAGTTAAAAAAATTATACTAATAATAAGGTTTTAATATCTCAGATTCCTCTCTCTCTTTCCTTTTCCCTCTTCGATCCACACTATCGAGTATTACTTCTTCTTCTGTTATTTCCTCAATATGAGGTTGATCRGTAGGCACCTAAAAATAATATATTAATATGCATATAATGACGATTAATTGTGCTAAATATAAAAAATATATACCTCATATTCCTCTATCTCTTTCCCTTTCCCTCTTTGATCCTCCACATTATCCACTATTATCTGTTATTTCCTCAATAACAGGTTGATCGGCACGTACCTGAATATAACATATTAATATGCATATAATCGATATTAAATGTGCTAAATATAAAGAATATCTATATGTATTACCACGAAAGRAACAATTTGAGTTCCAACGACTTCATCTTCATTTGGAAACTCAACTATAGGATCACATATAGTAACTTTCGTCGTGACCTTTTCATCTTGTTCTGGTAAAATGATTATTGGCGAGTACTTCTTRTAACGAGGCATCTTACCGAACAAATCTTTGTAGGTAGGCTTCAATGGTTGAGCATCCTTTTTTTTTGTCTTCCTCAGCGCTCTCCTAAGAGCAACCAGTTTAAAACATACAATGTATTTATAACCTATATAGATCTTAAAAATAATATAATGAAAGTATTGCTTACCTCTGAGCTAAGATTAACATATAAATGATATTTGTTCGACTTGCTGGAAGATTGGTTAAGTAACCTATTACTTATTCTTCTTTCCTTCTATTTTGGTAGCCCTTTGCACTTGACCATAATGTTAACGTAATTCAACTAATATATATCTATCTAAAACATGTAAAGTAGTAAATGCTCATTTCAGGGCAAACAATCATAGCTGAAAGCCAATATGAAATTTTATAAGACATGGTATAAAGTATAACATATTGAATATACAATATATCYGATATAACATAGACTAAACTTTCTGAGATATAAATTTTATCCGTATGTATTGATTTAAAGTAGTAATGGTATATATCCAATAGATTCTTAACTTTAAATCACCATCAGTACATATCGAGACGCATAAAACTTGAGATATAATATATATCCTACTCTAAACACTATATATCCCCATATATACATTATTCAGAACAAACGAATAAAGAAAAATATACTCGTATAACTCTAGCTAAAATTCTTCCAGTTAGAAAGAAAAATATACTCGTATAAACCAATGCAATACCGAAAGTCCTCTATGATTACTAGAAAACCAAATACCTTTTCCATGGAAAGTGGTCCATATGCTCGGGTTCTAATTCTTTGAATTGTTTCACTGGTATATATCGAGATACTTAAAACTAGAGATATATTATATATCCTACTCTAAACACTATATTATRTATACTCAAATATACATTATTATAAATGATATAACCAGAAAGGAAGAGATTCTGTCCAAAATTGAAACCTARATATAGCATACACTACAGTATAAGGGGAATTGACGAACTGAATTGCTCATGCGACGGAGGTCGGAGATGAWATTAGATCTTATTGTATAATGGAGCCGACGGAGCCACCGGAGACGAAGGAGTCGCGAYGATGTTACCCTATGAGATGCGACGGAGGCCGCCGGTAATATGTTCTGCAAACAAAGGAGAAGAAGCCGTCGGAGACAACGAAGACGTCGACGAGATGCTTCAGAGGAGACGAAACCGTAGGGTCGCAGCGGTGAAAGAATATCGACGGAGATGAAGGAGGTTACGAAATTGAGGGGTTTTAGGAATTTCAGTTTTGGAAATTTGAATTAGCCTAATTTTAGGGATTTGATATATTTTAATAATTATTTACCAATTTTATATTTTATTAATGATTTAATATTGAGATGGATATATTAGTAATTTTTATTATGGGTACCATCTAATTTGGGAATTAAAAGTGTAAATTCGAGATCTTTCAATCCTTTTAGGTAGACCATCTCTGTACTAATCTCATGTACTAATCCCAGATAATAATGAAGGATACCTTGAGTGGTTGTCGTGACTCGTATTTAGAGGTCCAGGGGCAATGCACCTCGGCCTGGTGCTGGGCTTAGCTCGTCTAACAACGTGGCCGACCCAGTAAAAGTTTGACTTGTATCGTGATGTTATGAATTCAGGTGGGTTTGATGCCCTGGTTAACATAGGATTTGCCCGACAAGCGTGCCTTAAGGTCAACAAGAAATAAGAAACGAAGTCATTTGTGTCAAAAAATGAGTGATATAACCATATTTTCTTGTTTCCAATTTATTAGCATTTAGAAATTAAAACTAGCTATATTTGTTGTTTCTCATTTTTAATAAATATTTTTAAAATTGTATGGAAATTTTRTAAACAATGAAATCAAATTTCTTGTTCTTATTTATTTATTTTTTCAAATCATAAATAAAAATATTTTTTATTATTATTAAATACAATCAATATTAAAAATTAATAATAGCATGAAAGTTTGAATATTTAATTTTAAATTTTAAAATTTCATATAAAATTTGTAGTTTTTAAAATTGAAACTTAATGGTTACTTTTTTTTTTCAATATAAAAACAAAAAACAAAAAATAATTAACAAATATAATTATATTTTTCTCTATTAAAAAAGAGGGAAAAAAAGAAGAAGAGAGTAACACACCAAGAAATCTAGTATTAGAAAAAAAACTCACACACACAAAGAAAAAGAAATTAATGGTAATTATATCACTCCGCCCAAATTTTATTTTAGTTCTAATTTCTATTTTGGGTAAAAAATACTTCGGGAAGTATTTTTAGTATAACATGTGAGGTCCTCTTGTACTATACTCACTTTGGTCGTGTTCTTAGTATGTTTCACACTATTTTTATTTATTTTAAAGATGTAGCCTTCTTGTAACCTAAAATTTGTAAGTAGAATTTCATCAAATTTGAATTATTAAYTTTTAGTTTGTAACAATTTTAGTTTAGGAGTTTTATTGGTGCGGAGATAAGGGACCTGCCTCTCATTTCATTCTTTGTTTTACGGAATGTAAGCATGGATTCTGTTAAAAAAAAATAAAAAAATTGYAAGGATTKGATTCCCGCGAAAAATAAAAAATTTTCACCTAAATTTTTCTTTGCATTTAGTATCAATTAAAATTAATAAATTAAAGTAAAACGAAAAACTCGGTATATAAATAACGTAGCACCTATGCAAGTTGGTCGTTTCTATTTATGTGTGCGTACAAGTGCTGATGTGTTTTGGTGGTGACCATGTATTTTCCAAACATTAATTTTGGAAATAGTTTGGTTAATGATATATTTTTTGAATTCATTTTAAAAAAAAGATTATTAAAAAAAACCCCAAGTTTTCATGTCTCATCATCTTATTTTTGCCCATCTAAATATAATCATTATTCAAAAAGAATATTTCTACATCTTCTTGATATAGTATTGAAGAAAAAAAAATCTTCACAGCTTGAATTATTCAACAGCAATGCAAATCAGACAACTTATGTTCATGGCACCTTTCGAGGTTAGGATTTGATTTGACATCCATTCCATTTTCATTTCCATAATCTGCCTTTCAAGTTCCTCATTTCACACCAATCATGCTTCAATTATAAGCAGCAATCCCAAAACAACAAACAATTTCTGAAACAGAATCGTTTCGTTCTTGTTGAACAGATCAAGGGTTCATTGGGTCAACGATCGGAGCTTCAAAATTCGTCTTCCCAAAGGAAGAACTGGAGAAACCATGAACCACCCATAGAAGCCCTTTTCATGGCGTCACTGGCAACGCATCTCTCGGCCTCCCTCTTCCTCGTCCCCATAGKCGTCCGCCGCCTCCTCTGTTCTTCCTCCGTCTACCTCAAAAACCCATCTCTTTACCGATCGAAAGCCTGGTACTTATCCGAACCCAAATGGAAAAATTTCGATTTATACTCCCTCATCGTCGCCCTCCCCATCGCTGCCTTCTCCGAAATTTTCCTCTTCCTCGCATTTTCCGGCAACCCCACCTACAGATTTGCGTTTTCCCAGCAATCGGCGGCCATTTTCTTCTTCTGGGCCCTCGCGATTCTGATCATTCTGCGGGAAAACGTCGACCCTGTTCTCGCAAGTGAGAGTTTCATCTTTGTTTTCGCTGGAATCGCGTTTCTGGTTGAGTACTCTGTGATTGGGAAGGGGATTACAGGTCTTGGTGGCGCTTTTTACCACATTTCCGGAGGATTGACCCTTATTTGTGCTTGTTCTTGCCTGTATTTATCCATGAAACCATCTGCATTTTTCGTCGAATTTATACTTTCTTCTTGCTTAACCTTTAAGGGGACATGGCTGTTTCAAGCTGGATTGTCTCTATATACCAAGGCATTTGCCTTGAAGGGGTGTCAGGAAATGCTGGTTTTGCCTGCCATAGGGGACGCTGATGTCCATTGTGAGCTTGAGGAGGATGGCCTGAGGGGCATTGCTTTGATGAACTTAATGTTCATTGGTCATGCTGTTTTGGTTCTGATTTTGGGTTTTGGGTTGGTTGGCTTGTTGTCCAGCAACCGGGGTTTGAGATACGGCGAGGGGAGCGGCCCGTTGCTGGCCGAGATTGGACCGGACACCAGGTTGATTCGCTCGTCTCCTGAGATTGAGATGGAGTGAAATTGTATGGCTCCTCCTCATTCTTGACTTGACTGTAATCTTCTTGTCAAAATGTCATCATAGTGGAGAAAAAAGAAAACGATTTGTTCATTGGTGTTTTGCCTTTAGCTTACAGTAATTGTTCATAGATTTCTTGTTTTCCCTTTTTCTTTCTTCTCTTTGAAGTTTTCATCCATATAGAGGTAATGTAGATTAGTTTGAGTTGTAGTTCATTATGTCCAAGAGTTTCTCTCCTTGTTCTTGCAACTTTTGGCCAAATTATATGCTTTCAATCAAATTATATTCATCTCTTATCTCTAAAACCTGAAATTTATCTCCATCATACATAAGTAACCAATCTAAATATTGATTTTGGCTGTGCATTGTGAGTATTTATCTGTCTGCAGGATTCTGGTTTTGGTTGCAGTTTAGTCTGAAGAAAGTCTTCATCTGGCCATCATTTCATTTAAGGTATGATTGTAACATTGAGGTGTTTGAACTTGAAGGATTAGATTGCTTTTGGCACGTCGACTAGACCGCCTTTTCAACCCGTAAACTCGGGGGGTCAGRATTCGTACTCGTACCTCGAAACAGGATATATTCTCCTAGGAATTTTATTAGTCTATGCGTATGCTTATTCCATATCCAAAGTTTGCATCTATCAGGCCATTCAAATAGTTTGATTGAACTCTTACCTTTTGGGAAGCACATTCTCTGTTTGTGGCTTTGATTTTTGCTGCTCTTTACTTGGAAATGATTTAGAATATGATACTTTCTGGAAGAATATAGTTTGTTTTAGTTCTGTTCTTCATTCCCACTGACATCTCATCGAGCTTTGAGGAACCCTAGATTGAAAAGAACTCGGTTGACTGAAATCTGCACGGCCTAACACACTACTACTCGCGAGATCATTGTAACGGTTGCAAGTTTTGCCATGCTTATCGAGCTAGGTATAGAAAAAGAGTTAGGATTGAGACGACATAGAGGAAATGGGAAGGTAATAATTGTTGAATGCATGTAGGGCAAGGTAGGGCTCGTTTGTTTTTTGTTTCTTTTTTTTTTAATAAAGAAGAATAGAATTGCATGACCCCGAGACCCATAGATTCAAGGAGGATCAAACAAAATCTTTATTTATGTTGGACAAATTAGAAATGGGAACAAGAAACAAGAAACTTGTTTTTGTCGTTTCCAAAATTTCTATATAATTTTGATAATGTTTCTAGAAAATGATAAACAAGAAATATAAATAATTGTAAAACCGTATACTAATTTTTACAAACTATACATTCGCAAATAAAATATAGGTTATACGAACTTTGAGTTGTATGACTCAATTCTTTGCACAATTCATATACGAGTTTAGGTAACTAGACATGTTATAAGCATGAGCTAAACATATGTTTGAATCATTTTTAGGTGTCAACAAGTGAGCASATATCTTGTGCTCGAAAATTATCATATTTTCAATTTTGGTTAACATAGATACAGTGTTCACTAGTCAGCACTTAAATATTTTATTAAAAAAACAAGATAAATCTTACTATTTAGGTGCTTTCTGGAAAATAATTATCTCCTCCCTATCACCATTTAAAAATTGATAAATGCATAAAGGGAGATTAATAAAAAGAAAGAATAAATAGTTGTCAATTTTTAAATGGCGCGCGAATTAATTTAACGTGTTAATTTTCATTAACTTACCATTTATATTTTAGACTTTATTTTTGTTCTCCAACTTTAAAAAAAGTAACCATTGTGATTTTTGTAAATGATATGGTTTCAAATATATATGTACAAACACATTAACATAGGTATGTATTGAAATTAATAGGTTAATTGAGATGGGTTATTGTGACCCAAATTTGATAGTCCATATGTGACAAATATATGTCTACATCAATTTTCAATATGTTAATGAACATGTTTTAAAATATTTTMTTTTATCTATTAAACAACTAACTACAAAACAGCCATCGTCACAACCAATATAGTTCCTTTAATTTTTGCAAGTTAGGATTAAATTACTAATTTTCAAAAATTTAAGAATCAAAATGAAATAAAGTAGGCATTGAGAGACTTCATCAAAAATAAAAAAATAAAAAACTGAGAGGACTAAAATATAATTTTAACATAGTTTTTCAATTAGAGTTTCTAGTCTACAGGCAAAGAACTAAAGTTTTATAAATAAAAATATAAAAAAAAAATTGGAGGTTAGTTGGAAGTATATGTCAATTATCGTGGAATTATGCTCGTTTTGACTAAGTGTCTATTTATTATATTATAATCTCGTTTATTCTTGTCATCACAATCTCTCCTATGATATATAAATTTGGAATAAATTAATGTAATATTATAGATCTAAATAAATTTATGGGCATCAAAATTCTCTTTCCAAATTTAGATGTAGGATTTGAAATCGTTTATATTGTTTGGTGTAAAATTTCAAAATTGGAYTTCAARTCATTTTGTTTTCTTCAAATATTTTCCATACAAAATAGCGTGGATATTATGGGATTTTAGTTTAAAAGGATCAAATTTAACATCGGAGAGGAAAATGAGGAACTTATCACCACTCAACACGTTCACATATATCACTATACTCTACATATTCACCACTTATCTTCTAATATATTTCTCATCACACCCAATGTGTCACCGCTCGTCTTCTTATATATTTCCTGCTTATCATCAYACTCAACTTGTCATCTCTTAATCGATTTTTTAGTGCTTATCGACACTTAACTTGTTTCTACATAATCTCACTCAACGTGTCACCATTTATCTCCTAATATATTTCCAACATACATCACTATACTTAACGTGTCATCGCTCATCTCTTATTATATTTCTCACCACACTCAATGTGTCACCACTCATCTTTTGATATATTTCCTGCATATCATCACACTCAACCTGTCATCTCTTAATCGATTTTCTAGTGCCTATTCACACTCAACTTGTTTCTGCAGAACTCCACTCAACGTGTCACCGCTCATATATCTTAATATATTCCCAATATATATAACTATTCTCAACATGTCACCTCTCAATTGTGAACAATTTCTCTTCTCTTTTCTCGTTCAATTAAGTTTTCATTTGTAAACTTATTGCATCTAGGTCGTTGTGAGATTTTGCATTACAGCTATAAGTGCAAAGAAACCTCRTAAACTTATCACTACTCAATTCATATATCACCATTTAAACATCTTTTAGGAGGAGATCAAAAGACTATTTTTGACCAACAAGTTATATTTATTTATTTCTCTCTTTATTTTATTTGGTAGGGCTATTTACTGCCCATTTGGTTGAGGTTTGTTGGGAAAAATATAACCTACCATGTRGTGAGATATGACTGGGCTCCTAAGATCACCAAATGACCAAAAGCTATTAAGCTCATCTAGTGCTGAGCTTCTAAGCTCATCCATGGCTGACCTACCAAGCTCATCCATATGAAAGGATGCATAGTTGACCTTAGTCATTGTCGATCTATGGCCCGACATCCAACCGCCTTGTCGTAACGGCTATAACGGACATGTCCCTTCACTCCGTCTATAAAAGGACCATCATTCTCCTCAGACTCAGGTATTTAATTCTGCTCCAAGAATGACCTACTTGAGCTTGCGCCTATACTGAAGTCTCGAAGTGTTTGTTTGTTTGTTTGTTTGTTTTTTGTGCAGGTTCTACCTTGTATGAACTCGCACCTCGTTAGCTCGGTCAACTACCACGTGATCGACCTCGATAGCTCGACAGAATCCTACATCAACAACGTTTAATATTTGCTTTCACCAGATTGATTAGAAAAAAAATAATATAGCACGTTTAAGATTGGTTAAAAGAAAAAAAAAATACTCTTCTGCATATTTTTTTCTTTTTTTTTATAGTTAATTTATTTTCTTTAATTTTAGAAGTATTTTCGTTTTTCATTTTTTCCAATCTACCACACTCAAATTAATATATTCTTGTAAAAGATATTCTTAATATTAATTATCTAACATATTAATATATTTTCTATTTAGTTTAAAAAGAGAATTATATATCTATATTTTCTAATTTGTACTAGTATATTTCATTCATTGCAAGGTCGTTTTGGCTCTTTTGAATTATTTTCGATCTTTGTGAACATAACTTCTTCTTCCTCTCTTTTTTTTTTTATTGAAGTAGAAATGCTTTTAATCTCTGAAAATTTGGTAATCCAAGGTTGAGAAAATCCTAATTTTCTAYCATTCAAATTCCTTTATTTAAGGATTTCAAAAGGAAAATATCTTGATTGCCTCACAATACTCTRTAGACTCAACTACTCCGATTCTGACTTAACCATCGGTGTCTGGGTGGCAATTGTCACGCCGATCTTTAATGCTATTTTGTTTTGCAGGTCTCRTCGATCCCTTTTGTTATATAAGATTGGGGCAAATTTGACGGAATTCCATGAGGTTAAATTTCTACATCAACATCAAACAACAAGGCTTAATTTAGAGACTAAACACCAAGAGAAATCAATTTACCACCCAATTGCCTGATATCCCAAGAGAAATCAAATCATGTGCAACATTCTCACTAAACACCAAGAAATTAAGTGGAATAGCATATAGCATGTATAATTGTATATGAGGGATGTTTGKGAATGATTTTCTTTTTCTTAACTACAATTTCAATACAACATCATACTTAATAATGTTTTTGAAATATTGTCTTTRCGTTTGTAAAAGATTTTTATTGGTACAAAGTTTGTGTTTAGAATTTTTCAAAACAATCCATTACAAGAGTCAAAATAGACGTTTTGAAATTATAAAGGTCAAACTGGATATAAAAGGTAAAAAAATACATAGACTAAAATAAAATTTTTGAAAGTATTTAATTCATAATAAACAAAAGCTAAAAATACAAAGAGAAAAATAGTATTTAAACCTTAAAACAATAATTAAAACAATTAGTTTAAACCTCGTGGATTTCTATAAATTTWAWAAAAAATATTCCATCCACGGACATCTCTATAAAATTAAAAAGATTTAAATACTATTTTAGTCACTATAATTTCAATTAATAATTCATTTTGTTTCATATACGTTYAAAATTTCAAATATTTCGAAAAGTCTATTTGGGTCCTCATTCGCAGAATTTCAACATAAATTCTTAGCTAAGGAAATCTCTTTAGTACAAAATGATGGTAATATTTCAAAAAAAAAATATTGAGGGCAACATCAAATTCAAATTAAGATAAAAAAAAAATCAAAACGATCACTTTTAAAAAAAACTGAACAATCTGCCAACAGAACATAGTTTAACGAAACTTCGTATCTCATATTCCCTCTTAATTGTACTTAAAAAAAATAATAGAAGGGTGAAAACAAAAATTTGTCAAATCCAGCATAATTCAAGTGAGTAAGGTATATATTAACCAAAAAGTTACGAGTAGTAACCGCTACTAMAAAAATAAAATTAAAAAGTAAAAGGTACTGAAATGAAAGAAAATTTATAACGAAAATAGTATTTAAGCYAATTGAAAGACTCCATAGGTTCATTTCAGTCTACGTCCATGATTTGGAAGGAACCGCCAAATAGGCTCACTGCGAAGAAATTCATCTTCGGCGCCACCGTCGCCGGCGAAGATACCGACGAGCATCTGCCGGCCAATGTCCGTCCGGAACGTACATAACAAACCATCCCACCGGCTGAACTGTGTTCGATTGGAGTTCAGCGGTTGAACTTGCCGGCCAACGCGTCGAGTTGATCGAATCTTGTACATAAATTTTACCGGACATCGTTTTCCATTCTCATCAGATTTATTGAAACGGTCGTTCTTTGATTCTGTTTGTTTCGAAACCGTTCGATTCATTATTTGTTTTACGTTACCCTATGACCTCTTATTGGGATTTTCTAAATTTTATTGATGGTTATTGTTTGAATCGTGCTTCGTAGTTCTGCCTGAGATATATTGTTTTCTGTCACTTTCTTGGAATTCCACTCGTCGTTGTCGAGTTCTCTTGGTTGGATTTTATTCCTTTGTTATTCTTTTCTGGGCAATAGGGCCAGAGAAGTGAATGTTGATCTCTGAAGCGGGGTTGTAACAGGTAGAATTTTGGGATTTTAGGGTCAGGTTTGGTGAAATATTGGATTTGTGATATTTTGGTGACTTAGATTTTCTTTCCCCCCACGAAATCATCTCAAATTTCCTTGAGAATTCCATAGATCCGTCTGTTTCTGTCGGTGTTGATTGGGGAGCTTTGCTTGGAGTAATTTGTGGATGTAAAAGGCTGCCAAAGACGTTAATGGCTGTAAATAGACATTTTGGTTCTGTAGGCTCCGAGAAGGTTGAGGATCATGTTAATGGGGACAGCAACGTTGAATCAATGGCATTATTGCCACCTCGAAGAGGTGGGATTTCAAAGAAACTGGATAAACCGAGGCGAAAAGTGCAGTGGAATGATAACAATGGACGTAAGTTGACGGAGGTAATGGTATTCGAACMAAGGTAATGTGATCTCTCTGTCCTTTCACATTTTTACATGGCGTACTTTGAATGAGTGTTTAAATTATTTTGACGTTCTTCTATGTTTATTCGTACCATTTTATATTCTATACACTGGTCAGTGCCTAGAGATGGATAGTGGGTACCTTGCAAATTGCACCTCTGTGTTYTAAACATAGTTTCAAATCTTGAACTCGTACTCTTCTATTAAAGTTTTAACTCTTTTTTTTTTTTTAAATGGAATTAGTATACACGGTTGGTTCTATGTATACCATGTGTATCAATTCCGTTAAAACTACAAAGGGAAGTGTATAATCTGTAAATTTGCAAACTATAGGAAGTTTGAAATCATTTTTAAGATACAAGATCTTATAATTAGGAAATCAAGCAAACTACAAGGTGTAGTCTGTAATTTCCCTATTCCAAGTTATGCCTGACCTTCCTCAGATAAATTTGTYACGCTTAAGGTTTCATGGTGCCTCCATGATTTGAAAGAACTTTTTGTGTTTTGGATACTTGCTTTTAAGTGGATTGGGTTGCTATTTCTGATTTTGGATAATTCTAATTGTTCCATTACTTTTATCGTTATTTGTTTCTTAGAGTGAGTAGCCATATCTTGAAATTTTTGGTTTTTTAGAGTGTAATTCTATTATGGAATTTTGGGATAGGACGAAAGTGGGATGTTCATTTGGTTTGAGGATCTTTAGTTATTTGAGCTGATGAAGTTGTTTGCTAGATATTTAGCTCAAACAGAACAAATATATTTGTTAAGAATCCCTGGTTTTCTGAGTGCTACCTGTCTTAAGTTAATGAACTAAAATGAGACTCATTTATTGGTTTATGCATCTGAAACATTATTACCAACCAAATTTCTACGGATAACAATAGCCTAGAGATTACAATTTAAAAGACATTCTAGCTTTCTCATAGATATCACGTTGATTCATTTTATTTCCGTCTTTGTGTCGCAGTTATGAAAGTGACTCAGAAGATGATGAATCTGATGCCTGTATGTGTACTGTAATGTAAATTAAGTACCTCGGGTATCATTATGGATTTCTAGTAGCTAACTCTGATCTAACCATATCGTCGTGGTTTATTTACTACTTATCGTGAGGATGGAGTCCCATTTGGAGACTGGAGTAGGTTGAACTTCAAGAACTGGAACAGCATCTAGTTATTAGCTTCTTCCTTCAGAAATTAAAGGTGACTTCCAACACAATTTCTGTAGTTATTATCCTTAGCATTTTTTATCTGCACGGYTTTCTTTCAGAACAATGCAGATAAGAAGGATTCTGTTCTTACTATTTTCTGTATAATATATGTAAGAATAGAGCTGTTAATCCTTTTTTGTGATGCCGAAATTGGTTGGTAATCGTAATATAGTTATATTCTAATATTATGAGACTCATTTTGTTTTCCAAGTCCCTATTGCCTTTTTTAATCTGCACTCTGCATTGTTACAGAATCCCAAAATGTATTACACGGTCAAAAATTCTTTCACCAATAGAATCTTTTGTAGRAATGATTTTTTGAGAAAGATTGAAATTATGTTAATCTGCTTCTGTTTGTTTTTTGTCAATTAAATTCAGTGTTCATAATACATGGATAACCAAGATTTACGTYAATAAGACAACTCTTGAAAATGTTATTTCATCAAACAATCTTGTTTCTCACTATCCCGTGGAAACAGCAAGCAGAAGCAACAGAAAGCAAACTAATATCTCCAAGAATCAGCAAACTTACCAAACAAAACCATCTGCCACAAACACAAGGTCATAAAAGATAATTAAAAAATAAAAAATAAAAAACTTCAACACAAATCTGTGTGCCACTCCCACTGAAGCAGGCCAGGGAGTTTGATAGATCAATGCCACACTTTTTTTTTTCATTCGAGTTTCTCCTTGCTACATAAAAGATAAGAGAAAGAGGTTCTGTAACCTTTATTGTTTTCATGAAGTTGTTTATGTTCTAGCTTCTTTTCTGCATGATTCCACTTGAATCCGGCAACTGACAAGCCTTTATGCAGTTCAGACCAACCAATCTGAGAGGCTTGAATGCACCAGGTTTTCTTGCATTTGAGTATCAGGTAAGCACGATTTCGATCTTGATTTAAATGGTGGTTGAGTTAAACTTGCATTTGAACTGAAAGATACGGGAGATTGTGGCTTCTCTGATGTCTTAATCTTGATTTCCGTCTGCTGCTTAGTGATTGTTGTTGTTTTTGCTTTGGCTGTCCTCCATTGAGTAAGATTTTCTACTGGTTTTAGTACAGAATGAACATGTTGGCTCCTCTCTACAGTATTAGTTTCTGATTCACATGGTTTAAACTCATCATTGTTTTCTTCTTGATCTTCATCAATTTCACTATCGTCCAAATCACTTTCCCCATATGATAAATCATCTTCTTCTTCATTATCACTATCCCTGCAATTCTGGTATCTGTGGTTTTGAGGGTAATTCGACGTTGTAAACACCTTTTCTGGAAGTGAAGTAGAATCGGTTCTAGCTGTTGCTTCTTGATGATGTTCCTCAGTTCTTACCTCTTCATCACTCTCCAGGAAATATTGATAGTCTGGGACAGGTTCATAAGTCTGAATGTTTAGATTAAAGCTAACTTTCTTCCTGATTTTGACCCAAGGCTGCTCCTTAGGTCCATCCCTGCCAACAGAACTAAAGGAAAACGGGATCTGCATCAAATGGTAAAGGAAAACAAAGTCGACGGGTAAAGAAAAACAAATCAGTCTCGACAAGTGCTCAATACCCACCTCGGTTTAGAATTCAGAATCTCGGGTTCGTTGCAAGTGTCACTAGTTGCAATCACCCGGGAGGAATCCAAAGGCTCATAGCTTAGATGTATCTGCCAAAGGACATAGAGAGGCAGTGCTGTAAGGAAACCACTAAACAAGAGAACTGAATTCACATGCATACACACAGATGAAGGATAGAGATGAAGTTTATTACTTGGTCGCCAATTGTGAGTCCATTGGGCRGTGATCGGCGTTTTCTGCGCCGCTTTTGGAACCCGAAACAAGCAAGAAAACACCCCATCCAGCGTCGGTAGAAGCTCGGAAATGGTGTGTTAGAATGTGACGTTCATGGTGGGAGTGGTGCGGCAAAGGCAAAGGAAGGGAGAGGAAAACGTTGAAGTTTAAAAATGGAATTTGGCTCCAAAGTAGTTTGAAAAAGTAGAATAACGTTGGAGCTCGTAATGAATGCGGGGCCAAGTGGGTAGGAGCCCACTTTACACTTTTCTTAGAGAGAGATGGAGAAGAATGCTAAAACTTTTGTCAGCATTTGCTTTTCAGCTCGAGAGTGGATTGGATAGAGATGGGGATTCAATATCAAAGATTAATATTTCATTTCTGTCTCTCTCTCTCTCTCTCTCTCTCTCTCTTCAATTTCAAGGGTTTTTTTGTCTTTTCCATTGTCATTTTCGTCATTTGACGATTGTTTGGTATGTGGGAACAAACGGTGGCTGAATAAGTATTTTAAACTAGACGAACAATAAATAGGTGCTTATTAGTCATTATTTTGAATTATGAAAAGTAAAGAATCGTTATTCTTTTATACAATATGGGTCTCACTTTCCACAGGTTCACTCCGATTGCATCTACGAATATCTGTGTGAATGAAACCTGCAAGATTGATGATGTACTGAGGAGCTGTCCAGGGAGGATTTTCAATTCAGGAATGGTTTGGAGATAGGAGAGAACAAATTGTATTAAAGCATAAAGTTGATGAGTTTTCTGTGATACTCGATGATCATTATTTTTTAAATCAAAGTCTTTGTGTTGTATAATTAGTATGATAAAATTGTAACAATTTATAATAATGTAGACATATAAAACATTATTAGCATATGCCAATATTAATTTCACATAATATTTATGGGATTAATTAGTAGTTGGTTGGTTGCATGGAATTTGTTGAAAATGCCTAAAATATTTAGAATGTAACTGCAATAATTGTTGGTCTTTATTCCTCTATATTGCTCAATGGTCAAGCATTGTCATAATGCACAGACTTATATGAAGATTTTTATTCTCAATTTGTTCCTTTAATGATATTTTTCAATGAACATGTAATTTTATCTTAATTAATTATGTTGTTTTTTTAAAATACGGTTGTAAATCTTGTATCTTAGAAAGTGAGAATGAACAACAATATAATTGAAGTTGGTAGCTAGAAAATTGCTATAGCTCCGAGCATGTGATCAAAACAATCTATCTTACCAAAGGGTAAACAGTGCACTCTCTCCTCCTTACCAAACATGACATTCGAACGAGTATACGAATCAACTTTCCGTTATTCAATAATAAAGACAAGCTTCAATGATAAATGATATTTTCTTATAAGGATAGAAAAACTAAGCACTCGTTTGATAATGTTCTCGTTTCTCGTTTTTATTATTTTCAAAATTTCTATACAATTTTGAGAATGTTTCAAAATTTCTATACAATAATTAGTTGCAAAATACTTAAAATTCTTAATAAATTGGAAACCAAAAACAACAAACGAGAATATTATCAAACTCTAAAATTTCAAAATTTCACTCATTAGTTTGAAATTTGAAATGATTTTAAAAGTGAAAATTTAGTAGAGTTTCACCTTTTTTTCAAATATAAAAATTTATTATTAATTAAATATGGCTTATGAGAGAGCCCCATCAAATCAATAATTGGATGCCAATATAAAAGCCCCATAGTCCATAGATTCCATTCTAACACCATTGGCCTTCTCTATCTCGTGCCAGCCACGTGTCTAACAACAAGAAATCCAGACCGTCCATTCAATTTTCTTGCATCCAGATCATTCCAGAATCAGGCAAATCCTGACCGTTGAAATGGCATACCTTCCACTCTCTCAAACTCAAACCCTACTCCTTTAGCGGAAAGTACTCTTTTTTATTACCCTCAATTCACCACAGCGCGCGCTCTCTCTCTCTCTCTCTAGAAGCCCCAGTCGGCTACAAACCCTCTTCTCTCTTCCGGAATCCGTAGCCCAGAAACCAAATTGAAAGTTTCAGAGAGAGAGAAAGACGAGCGGAATCGTGTTTTCCAATTGGGTTTTTTGGGAGAAAGAGAGGGGAAAGGGACAATGGACTCGGATCAGGGGAAGCTTTTTATTGGTGGGATTTCATGGGAGACTTCAGAAGATAAGCTAAAGGACTACTTCGGCAACTATGGCGACGTGTTGCATACGGTGGTTATGAGGGATAAGATCACTAGCAGACCCAGAGGGTTTGGGTTCGTCGTCTTCGCAGATCCCGCTATCCTCGATCGAGTTCTTCAGGAGAAGCACACTATCGATGGTAAAACGGTGCGTGAGATTCTTATTTCTGTTTTCTTTGTTGTAATTAGGACGTGGGTGCCTTTGATTTGGCCCTTTTTTACTATGACTCTGGTTGGTGGGTACCTAATTCGAGTTTTTTGGGGTTTTGATTCCACAATGGTACTAAATACTTCTCTTTCCGAGTGTTAAATATCTGATATATATTGGTTTTTTGGGTAGTATTTATTGATGCATCCACAGCTCTTATTATTGAATTTTTGCTTCATGTTTTGATTCTGCGTCTTGTAGTTTTTTGTGTAACGTCTGTTAGTGCATTATTTTTTATGTTTCCGAAAGGGTGGGTTGTATTCTGCAATTTCGTTCCAGCATAGTTTATGTTTCCGCTTTGATCTACAAGATCAATACGTATTTCATATAATTATATCCTCTTTTTTTCGTTATTTGATTTTTGAGTATAAATTTGGTGCTCTAGAAATAGGTTGGTGTGAATCTGTCGACTTCAACTTTTGAGTATGGAAAGGTTTTCATTACTGAAACCATTACTTGTTTCCTGTATTTTTGTATCAAGGATGATTCTTTTATCGTCTGTTGTTTTCTTACTGGACTCGGTTGCTGTAACTTTCAGTAAATATTTTTACCTTTCTGTAGAGTCATATTTTTTTGCAGAGCATTTTAGCATTTGTAATTTATATTCTTTTCTAGGTTGAGGCCAAGAGGGCCTTATCACGGGAGGAGCAGCAGACCCCTGCCAGAGCAGGCAATTCTAATGCTACTAGAAATTCTGGTGGTGGTAGTGGTGGTGGAAGTATGAGAACCAAAAAAATTTTTGTTGGGGGATTGCCTCCAACATTGACTGAAGAAGGGTTTAAGGAGTACTTTGAGGCTTATGGCCATGTAACTGATGTAGTAGTCATGTATGATCAAAATACTAGACGTCCACGGGGTTTTGGATTTATTTCTTTTGATACTGAAGAAGCTGTTGACAGGGTCTTGCATAAGACATTTCATGATTTGAATGGTAAACAAGTAGAGGTAAAGCGTGCTCTTCCCAAAGATGCCAATCCGGGGGCAGGTGGCCGTTCAATGGGTGGTGGTGCTGGTGGTGGTGGTTATCAAAGTTATGGGTCATCAGGTGGTGCTAATTCAAATTCATATGATAATCGAATGGATTCCAATAGGTACATGCAATCTCAAGGCTCTAGTGGTGGTTTCCCACCTTATGGTTCCTCTGGGTATAATAATCCCGGGTATGGGTATGGTTCATCGAACAATGGAATGGGATATGGTGGTTATGGAAATTACAGTGGTTCAAATACCGGGTATGGTGCCCCTGCAGCTGTAGCTTATGGTAACCCAAATGTCGCTAATGCTGGTTATGGAAGTGGTCCTCAAGGTGGGCCTAGAAGTACATGGTCGGGTCAAGCTCCCTCTGGGTATGGGGCCATGGGTTACGGGAATGCAGCTCCTTGGGGGGGTGCTGCAGGAAACAATGCTGGAGCTGGCAGTGGTGGACCTGGATCTGCACCCACTGGTCATTCTCCTGGTGGAGCTGCTGGTTATGGTAATCAGGGTTATGGGTATGGTGGGTTTGGGAATCAAGGTTATGGTTATGGTGGAGGTGATGGCTCGTACGGGAGTCAATCTGGTTATGGTGCAGCAGGAGGACGTTCTGGTAGCGCCTCAAATAGCAATGTTGGGGGTGGTCCAAGTGGTGGAGAATTACAAGGGAACAGTGGTGGTTACATGGGAAATGGCTATGGGGATGCAAATGGAAACTCTGGTTATGGAAATGCTGCATGGAGATCTGATGGAGGACAAGTAGGTTATACCGGTGGTTACGCGGCTGGACAAGCTCGACAAGCCCAACAACAGTAATTTGATGATCAAAAGTGAACTGGATCGTGCCATGTTCTGTGTATCCCTGTTTGTTTAACGAGATCGATGTTTTCCAGTTGCTTATTTAAAAAAAAAGGTTTTCTTGTCGCTGACTGAAGCAGTGGCCTTGGAACACAATGAGACTGGTGGGGTTGCTTGAATCCAAGTAGCTTGCAGTATTAATTTTCTAGTCTAAAATAAGTAGCTGTTTTAGAAGTTTATTTGATGCTTCAGTTATACTTAGTATTTTGTTTCCGAACGTAGTTAATTTGATCGCTTTTATGAATGTCTATTTAGCTGTCTGGAATCAATTTTCTTCTTTCCACATTGTTTGAGCTGTAACAATTTGTGGCCTTTTACATTATCAGTGGTTTGGTAGCTACTTATATTCAGACATTTTTATGTTTCCTCTTGACCTCTAGAATCAGGCATAGACAATATGCAGAATTAGGTGATAGATGTTTCATTCTTTATCTTACATGACAAGTAGGAGTTCAAAGGTGTAGTTTAGAGAGAGTTGTAGTGATAGATGATAGTGTTGGAGCCCTGGCAATTGGGTCGATCACTTCGTATGGTTAGCCCTAATCGTAGTCGTAGTTGGCTCTTTAACAATGGCATAATCATTTTCCCCCTCTATTTTTGCCCTTGTGTTACAGGAGGGATGCCCGGAGTTGTAAAAGTGGAGTCAAGAGAGTCCACTCATGGCTGAACACAGGCTTCGTAGTGAAGGGGACCGTGTTGGGGATGTGTGTGTTCAGCATTTATCGAACTCGAGGACCTTTAATCGGTTGAAATAATCGATTTACCCCGGGAACTGAATATGTTCTTCGGCCAGACCTTGCCAGCACTATCAAGTATCCCGAATCTCTGGCATTTGCAAGTCATGAGTTCTATAGTAAATCTTCTCAAGGTGGTTAAATCCACACCCTTCAAGATTTGGTTATGTAGGCTACTTGGTAGTATTCTTTATAAGTAGGTAATGATTTGAGGTTTCTTTGTTGAAACAGATTCCAATTAAGTTATAGAGTAAATAAAATGATAGCTTCATAGCCATTTACTATTCCTTCAAATTAGCTGATAGTAGTCTTAGTAGCTTAGCCTAAACAGAATACTTGTGTTTTAACCTCTTTTACTGCTGGTAAAAATAGCCAACTGGGTTCGATATTTACCTTTGCTACTGCTTCGGAGTTGATGTTCAGTCGAAAAGAAGTCAGTTATAGAATAGCTGGTAAGGTGAAAGCAATATTCATTTGCTGTTCTTTGATGAAGTTTTTAACTGAGCATCTCTTTCCTTTTTAGATTCTACACTTTTTTTATGTGCCTCTCTTGTTCTGTGAAAAAGTGAGCATGTTCTGAACTTGCAAAATTTTCTTTGTAGATTCGATTGATAGGGGTCCAAATGGGCATGGTGATGTTTTAATTTGTTTGTTTTATTTCTTGAATCTTGAACTAGAAGTATTGAATCATTTATGTCTCTCGGGAAACCGTCATCAAAGTTGTAATAATCCCTATTGTAAGTAGATTACTCTCAAAGTTTTAAATGTTGATGTCTATAGAAATATTGATGAAGTATCGATGTCGAATATTTCTAGATGGGTTATGAAATTAAAAAATCAAAGTTAAAAAATAAGCATTTAATAAGCTAAAAATTATTAACAATATGAAGTTTATTTATATATATATATATATATATATATTATCCGTTTTTTTTGAGATGAGAAGGATAAAATATTGATTTTAACTGATATTCCAATAGGAAAAGTCATGAAAATTAAAAAAAATTATTTCATTAATAAATAAAAATTTGGTTTATGTGCTCTTCACATTTATTCATTTATGTGAATATTTTAATTTATTTGTAAAATCTTAACATAAATTTAATATGTATTGACAAAGTATATAATACAAAGCTATGGTTGTATATCAAGAGTATAGTGAGTATAATGTTGTGTTAAAATTATGATAAAAAAAATTAGTTAAGAAAATAAAGAAATCAAGATAACTTTTTAAATGTATGGAAACTAAAATGTGTTTATTTTGGTAGTATGTTGACTAAAATATTATTTTGATTTAAATAGTTTTATGTTTTTTTTTAAATAAGTATTTCATAAAACAAAAGATATTGATTGATCCTCAACACCAATACAAAGGTTTCCATTCATAAATATGACATATATCTCTACTGATGAGCACTCTGTTCTGTCTTTGGAAAAAAAAAATCAAAGAAATGGAATCACTCTTTGAATTACTTTTTTGACACTGAATTATTTTACAAATACAATTCACGAATGATAAAATATTTTCAATATGCTGAAGAAATTCCTTGGTACGGATTGTTGAATGCTGCAACATTACCAGGCCTTGAATATACAATCTGCCATCAAATTTCAATCATGATTTTTTGCTCAATCTCAATTACAATTTATATAAACTAGTTTTATGGATTTTAGAGATTTCATAAGTGCAACTAATATAAATTCAATGTTTAATTTGTATTTGAGACTTTTATTATCTCTTTAGTACTATAAGTGTTTATATAGTTATTTAAGGGATTTCATTAGAGCATAAATGGTTAGACGTATATACCTGGTAATTGCCAAGGGTGCGTGATTTAAAACCAGCAGCGCAGTAGTCAAAATAGTATTCCCAAGTCCGTATGAAACTCTCATCAAACCCAAGTTGAAGAATCTTGCTGAAAAAAGAAAAAGAATTGTTAATTTGAAGCACATTTATTTGTCATTCAATATTCTTCTAAACTGACTTAAATAGAACATTCAACCTCTTATTATCCAAGAAATTCTTTCTCCAACATCTCAACGTTTGGTAGTAATGAATTCCAATGTTCTCCAAATGTTCCACACTGCAGAAGTAATTTCATTTATTGAAAACGTAGAGAAATCGCCATAAATCTTTTAAAGAATTACGACAGCTCTACTTACCAGAGTCTGGATGCAATAGCCATGGCTGTTGTTAGCCTGCTTAAAGATGGTAGGCATCCTCCTGGAAATATATATTCCTTTATAAAGTCTGAACTTAGTCGGTATTCGTCATAACGCTCATCGGGTATTGATATGAACTAATGGAGAATCAAAAGTAGTATAAGCCCAAAGACATGTTTACTGGATCCATTCAAATGACAATAACAATGAAAACTTTCCAACCTGAACAACAAAAAGACCATTTTCTGCTAATACTGAATCACAAGAACCAAAAAAGTCTTCCATGAATTCATGACCAACAGCTTCTATCATCTCACTGAAATACAAAAGAGAATTATTGTAATACTAGTTCATGACTATGACTAATTGCTTCTTTCATATTATCAAACTCACCATGATATAATCCTGTCATACTTTTCATTACTTGGCAATTTTCTATAGTCGCAAAGAAGAAACCTAATGCGATCCTGAAAGCGAGGTCGAAATTAGATATAAATAGTAACAACCATATCAAAGAAACATGAGTTAGGGGGGCGAGAGGCCTTAGGAGGAAGTGTGGGAATTAGCAAGATTTAGTTACTCTCTGTGGGTGTCGGTTTTGAAGGATTTTTTAATTATTAGTTAGGTGTGTTATTCTTATGGATTGAGACCCTTTCTTATAGGCCGGTCGTATTTTGTTGTGGTCGTATTTTTCTTCTTGAAATTTTGTTGGCTATTTGTATATTCTTTTATTTTCACACGATGGGAGCTCAATTTCTTAAAAAATATATATATGTATGAGTTTTGAAGAACATTCAACCTGAAGGTTGGCATCTTTAACTTTCTTCTCGGCATATTTTAGTTGTTCCTCAGACAAAGTAATGCCGGTGTATTGACATCCAGTTTGCTTGACAATCTCGATAGCTAGGCTACCCCATCCACACCCAATTTCCAATACTTGATGATCTTTGTTGATTCTTGCCTAGGAATTAAGATATAAAAAACAGAATAGCTTGTGAGAGAATGAAAAAGAAGATGTTAATTGGGGTTAAAATTGTAGCTAGAGAACCACCTTTTCAATGAGGAGAGAGATTTTTCTCAGTTGTGCAACTCTCAAGTCTTCATTCTCCATCTATAAACAAGTATAAACAAGAACAAGATAAGAAAACATTGACACTTCCAACAGTAGATTATTAAAATTCTAGAAAAAATGGTTTCATGTACAAACCTTAAAGATGGCACATGAGTATGTCATTGTATCATCCAAGAATAGTGAAAAAAGTTCATTACTCTAGAACACAATAAGAATCCAGATATTTGTGAGGCAGTAATGAAATAATAATGAAACACAACAATGAAATATGAGTTTTCTTTTTTTGAATGCGAATGAACTAAAGACAAATAGACGTATTGTAGCTTTCTTAAAAAGAAGGAAGAAGGAAAAATGAAAGAATGGGCCGAAAACTATCGAATACCAGATCATAATGACGAGAGATGTTCCTACGAGCTTGTGTAAGAGTGTTTTGCCTTGAAGTATGCTGAAAAAAGTACTTTGCAGATGAAACACATGCAGTAAATAGTGGAGGTGTCCACCATCCCCTGAAAAATATAAGTAAATATTTAGTTTAAAGAATGAAAGTAAGTGATAAGTAGATCTCCCCATCATATATACCTTTTCTTCTTTACTTTTGCAATTGAAGAATTTGTATCTCTGCTAGCAATGAGAATCTGCAAAAGAAATCAGCATTTAAGAGTTTATGCAAATTAATGTGAGGATAGAATATTTAGTGATCCAAAATAGATGAGCTTACCAAGAAAAAATTTAGAAGGCCTTCGTCTTTATCGACAAAAGAAAAGTCTCCATTGATATACGCATCTGCAAGGCCTAAATCAGCTCGTGTAGTAATCTGAAAAAATCAATTATTACAGATGGTGAGGACTTTGGAACTAAGGAAGGGGACTTAAAGTATATTTGAATTATTACTAATTAGAATTTCATACCTTCCAATAAAATTGGGGGTTGTGAACTCTTAAATCAACCTTTGGAAGACATCTTTTATCTGTTCCCTCAAAGGTAAATATTGTGCCCCCTTCCTCCATTAAACTGCATTAATACAGAAAAATTATATCAATTCTCTATGGTAAATGGGACAATAATGCCATTCTGCATTAACATGTAAATTGAAAGGTCCAGTCACTTTAGCTTACGTTAATGATCCCGAAGTTATATACTGCCCAAGAAATCTTGTGACAAACAGGCGTGCCCCGGTATCTGCTAGCGAAGGTGCCATGTGTTTCGGGTTGCTTAGGAGAGTGAAACTATTTCCCAACATATTTTGTGCTGCCATAATACCGGCCTGCAAATATTTAGGTTACTAAACTTAATTTGAATATCCTTTGAATTATTCCAATTTGAAAAGGCACATAAGATCCTTGAGGAAAAAAAGATATAATAGTTGTTACCTTTAACCCAT